AGATGGAGCAGACTTGTTAAGGTGGCAAAAGATCTACATGGCTTGTAATGCAAACAGAAAAAAAAAATTGTGGATCCAAGATTTAATTTGGGGGAGACTTCAGCCCAAAAGCTTTTTTTTTCATAAAAATGACGATAATTACTTTAGAAAAAAAGAACGAAACTAACTATCTATATGAAATGGTGTTTAAGTGATTACTTAAGTCCTTTTAAATGTAATTACATGAAAAATAATACTTTAAGAGATAATTTTTTTTATGTATTTTTCCATAAAACAAGATTATATCTTACCATTTTGGGAGAGGGGGGGGCTTCAGCCCGGAAGCCTCCCTCCCTCCTCCCCGAAGATCCGCCCGTGTAGGGGACTGGCGAAGGAGGATGCGATGAAGAGACCTGCCTCACCAAGAGTTTGGTTGAGAAAAGCTCCATATTGAAAAAGTTTCTAAGGGAAACAAAAAACAATAACCATACGTTTTGCACAGTCTTCGGATGCATTTCGAACATATGCCGGTTTTGTTACCAACCATTTCCTTTCACAACTATATATTTTAATTATTTCTTTAATTGAGAGAATCTTTACATATGGAGTAAAGTGGGTTCAAATAATTTTATAAAGAGAAATCAAATTGATGTTAGTATTTCACACCTCGAAAAACCCTTAAATATGAATTCTCATACTGTTCGAAAATTAAAAATTTTTTGCAGAAAATGTCCATATATGTTGGAGCTTCGGTATGGCTCCACTAAACCATAAGAAAATTGGTATGAATTTAGGACCCTATAATATACACGAAATGGCACAAACGAGACATCCACAAATAAATTAGGCTTAGAGATAAAAAATAAAAACATTTGGTGAGCCCCTCTTTATTTTTATGTTATAAAGGCGTAAAATCTAAATGTTATTGATATGGTCAAAACCAGCAATAATTTAGCTTTCTAACGGTTGTAGTAACGTTGACTTAAGAGAAATCCTGAGGAGTTATGAATATTTTAGTAAACGGCATGAAAAACAATCTTCCAATAAAATTAAATCTAAATATTTATATTTTTTGAATTTCAAACAAACTCGTATTTAAGAGTTTAAGTGGATTCTAAAAACGAATCTAAATCGGTTTTTTATGACAAAAATTTACTCGGCCTACTTTATTGGAATCGTCTTTGGGTTTCTGTAATTTATTATACATTATATTTTATTCTTATTTTACGCAAAAAACAAACAAATCGATTAATATATGAGTCTTTCAGTTGACAGAATAACCAACTCTCATTAATTTTATTGATATTTCTAGTGGAAAAATTGATACTTTCATTCACAGTTTTATATTTCAGTACTGCAATCATCTACTCTCACGGGGGGGGGGGCTTTCGGGCTGAAGCTCCCCCCCCCCCAAAATGGTAAAATATAACCTTGCTTTCTCGAAAAAAAATGTTTAATAAATACCTCTTAAAGTATTATTGTTCGTGCAAGTACATTTAAAATGACTTAAGGAATCACTTAAGCACCATTTCATATAGGTAGTTAGTTTCTTTCTGTTTTTCCAAAATAATTATCGTTATTTTTATGAAAAAAAAAGGTTTCGGGCTGAAGTCCCCCCCCCCAAAAAAAAATTAAATCCTGGATCCGCTAGTGTCTACTCTGGAATCAACTTACTCACTGTCCATACAGATATTATAAATTTTCCACTTAGAAACATCACTAAAATGACTTTGCTCAAAAATGTTGAAATTGGAGTTAGTCATTCTGTCAACAGAAAGGCTCGTATAATAACTTAGAAATACATACAGAGCATTGTGAGAAAATAATAATATTTAATACATTTTTTTTCTCGCCTGCTAGGGATCATTGGCAAGTCTCGACAGGGGTTTAATATTTTTCGACCTAGTATCACGTTAAAAAAAGTTTTATTGAAATCGGTGACCCCACGTCCGTGATCTTGTATGCTTATTATTAAAGCTGTATTACTTGATTGAACGTTTTAAGGCTATGTTAATCAAATTAAGATATATTATTTAATGAGCTGTGATTCATCTCTAGTTTTTAAAAAGTGAGCATTTGCCCGCGGGCACCATACCTGGAGGCGAGTGAGCGCCCGCTACTTGTTAGGAATTTAAAAAAATACAAAGCAAAAGCAACTGAACGGGAGAAGTATTATATGAAATAAATGAAAATATTAACTAATATAAACAGATTAAGAAATAAATTACATTTTGGGGGAGATGACATTGCACGGGACACCAAATGTCTAAGGTGATATTTTATTGTTGTATTTGATTTTGGTTTATTATTTTTAATAAAAAAATCATATAAGCAATTTTTGTCTGTCCGCCGTACGCCGTCCGCGGCTTTTCTTCGATACTATTGGACCAATTTTATTGAGATTTGTAATCAAAGTCAGAAGCCACACGATGATGATCCTCCTACCTCGACATTACCATTCGCCCTTTCCTTTCAAAATGGTGGCTGCAAAACCTGTATCGTATAGACTGTAGCGCCTGAACGGGTATTCCGATATTAATGAAACTTGGCTAAAGTTTTCTTCTTGATGACTTTTAAATTTATTAATTTTGTAATTACTTCAATGAAACGAAGCTGAAAGAATATTACGAGGAATAGTAAAATGCTCCACCGATCTTAGGGGGGATGGGCACCCCTGCTTATCTGTACAAATGTTTTTATTACATTGATTTTATAAACTTTCTTTACATTTAGAGTCAACTATCAAAACGTTTTGGTTACCATTGTTCCTGATTTGATTGTATGTCTTCAGATATTTGTTCAGCTTGGCAATCTACTCTTGATTCTTGTTGGTACCTTAGTTTGTAGTTGTCTTTCAAAAATAAGAGCGATCTAAAGAAAGACTTTTTTTTTGTACCATCTTCTCTCTTCCCTTTTTTCAATTCATGCTGAAACTGTCCAATTAGCTTAAGAGTTTTTGATTCGATTTTTTTTTTTTCTTTTTTTTTCCTGTTGTCCCCACATGCAGCGTCAAAATCCAAAATGTTATGTCACTAACTAAGGGGAGCTATTCCTTATTTATTTATTTTTTTAGTTTTCTTACAATAGACTTTTCTGCTGTGAAATTCTTCCATTGCGTCCTTTTCTCTAATCAGAACGTAAGTTTCCGTGTTGCATATCAGCCAATAATGCATTTTTAGACAGGATGAGGCCTGTATATTATTTATCCGATTTTTATGAGTTAATGGTACTCATTGTGTATGCATATTATAATTTTGCTCTCTGCATCAGTCTTTTTCACTGATTTATATCCCATTTTAGCCATAAACACCTCAGTAAGATTCACTAGTGGATCCAGGATTTAATTTTTTTTTGGACGTGGGCTTTAGCCCAAAAGCTTTTTTTTTTCATATATATAACGATAATTACTATGAAAAAAAAAGAAATATACTAACTAACTATATGAAATGGTGTTTAAGTGATTCTTGAAGACCTATTAAATGTAATTACACGAACAATACTACTTTAAGAGATCATTTTTAACCATAAACATGGTTATATTTTACCATTTGAGGGGAAGAGGTTTCAGCCCGAAACCCCCCTCCTCCCGTAGATCCGCCTGTGGTAAGATTTAAAAGAGGGTTCAAGGTTGTCTCTTCCCTCTTGGACAACCTGCGAAACAGAGTGGTCCAATGTTTGAACGGCCTCTATCGTGTAGGGGCATTTTATTGAGCCTCAGATACCCGGCAACAATAACGATTTATAAAGGCAACAATAACCCAAAGCGATTGTGGGTCTTCTGAGGTGAGCGTCACTCCTCTGAAACCAGAACCTCTCCCACCGACGGAACAGCAAGTTGACAACAATATAGAGAACGGCTTCACTTCAACTTTTAAAATAAATCCATTTTCCTACATCATATGCATTATTTCCCATCGCTGTTACTTTCTTACACTCTATTTGGAACTGCTATATTAGCATTCTTAATTTTATTTTCGCACTCACCATGTTCTACGCCTAATACCTCGTCAAGTCCATATTACGAATCGTGCTGCCAACTTTTAATTTTATATTTCTGCTCCCGTAAGCCCCAGAGGATTCTTCTCTCCAAATACAACTCTTTCAGTCTGAATACCTCTTCTCGCCACTCTGCTATATCTTAGTACTTCGTGGTAAATATGCATCCATCTAGTCCACTAACTTTCTTCGCACTGTCACCAAGCGCAATCATACAACTTATTTTACTCGATAAAAAACATATAATTTGAAAGTACACCATTTCAAAAATATTTGCAGAGATTTCATGAAAATCTTACCAATTATTTAATAAAAGTTATATTATTGTTACATAATGTAAAAGGGACTGTACAGGTAGAACTGGATGCTTTAATTAAAGTTGGAGAATGATAGACTCTGTCTCAGGAGGAAATTGAAAAGATTTTAGCAAATTGAAAATGGCGCCTTTCCCATGAATTATTTCAATAACGTTATCACAGAGTATTGGTTGCTTTTACATTTATTCCTCATTTAAGAAAGCTATATTTTTTATTTATAGCTGTTCAATTTATTTAAAAATTTCCTGAAAATATTTTAATTAGTGAACCAAAAAATAAATAATTTAAAATGTCTTTTAATTCACTAAACAAGAATAAGCTTTATTTGTAAAATTTTGATTTAATAAAAATGTTGATGATATAATCTACTTCTTATATCAGTTTCGTCTAAGTACTTGACATTTGAGTAGTGGCTAATTAGTATTTAGCCGATGTATATAGCCAGTAGGTTGTAAGGATTTAGGTTTATCAAGTTGACCTGTCGGCTTATGTTGGTTTTCACAAATCCGTTTTTTATTTTAAAAAATATGAATATTAATATACATTATTTGCTAGGCAATTTTTTTGTTTTGTAAGTCGAACTTTAGGAAAGTTTTGTGAAGGTAAGTGTTCAATGACATTCAGGGTTGATAATTTTTGAGAATTCCATTATCTTAGTCTCAAGCTCAAACAGAATTGATTCTTGTCTATTCAAGTTTATTGTGGTAAATATAGTGATATGGAGGAAGGACCAATGAGTGTTGATTCTGATGAAGGAGAAATGATCATTAATGAGGTTGATGGTTTGCCAAATTTACACCCTAACTACAATGAATTGAATCTCAATGAAACTAATACCCAGAAAGACATTCCTCAGACTATTGCTGATTTAGTCAATGATGAAGATCTGCCTACTTCTCTAATTGTCACAAATTTAGACTCACTGCTGTTTAAGACTGATGAACTTAAGGTAGATGACAATCCATTGACATTAATTTTTATTATAATATAATTAAGTGTTTTATTACTCTAGTTTTCATAAATGCTTATTAATAATTTTCAGAAAGAAATTGAACATTTGTTTTCTCAGTTTGGGGAAATAGTGTCTTTTCAATACTTCAGAAGTTTTAAAAGAATGAGAGTTAACTACAGTAGCCCTGCGGCTGCTGCTAATGCCAGGATTCAACTTCATCAAACTATGTTCTTAAATACAGTTATCAATTGCTATTTTGCCCAGGTATTGGAAATGTCTATTATTGATGAATTTCACATGTTAATATTATTTCATTTATCAATCACTATAGGTATTAGTTGTCATAATTATGTATATATGTATTTTATTTTGAGTTGAATATTACTCGATACGCAATGTTTTGAAAACTATCTATTGGTGGAACTTTGCATATTAATTTTAATTATAATTAATGATTCTCTTAGGAGAATCAACTTAAATCAATCATTAACTTAAATTTATGTATTTGAAACTTGCAGCATTTATATTTATTTCCCCAAAATTTTTTCCTCCAATTATATAATTTAATTGTTTTGTGTAATATTGCATAAATTATATTGATAAGTAAAATAATTACTTTTAACAGTAGTAGCAATATTGTGGAACCATATATATATTTTTTATTGTTATCAACGCAACTAGTTTTTGACCTTGATTTTTGGCTTGAAAGTGTTTCATCATTCAAATTCATTTCATCAGCTATGCAGATATAGTAGTTTTGTTGAAAATTGGAATATTCATTTGTAAGAATATAATTATATATTAAAAAGATTGCACAATAAAATGTATAATTAAGTTAGTGAGTCACTAGGCAGTGATAGTGCCAACTAGTGACATTAATTAAAAGAAAAACATATCATACTTAAATTCAAACTTTAATATTATGAAAGTAAACATAAAATATTAGTTGGAAGTTTATTTTACAATTTCAACCGTTATTCTTGAAATAAATTGATTTTTCTGGAAAAATCAACTATTTACTCTTGTTAATTCAGATTTTTCTCGTTACATCAAGTATTTGGAGAAGAGATGACACCTGTGTTAAATTATGAGCTAATTGATCGTTTTTCTGAAGTTTTAACTTAATATTGTCAAAATATTTAATACTGTTAATGTACTAAATTTTTGTTTACTCTAACTAACTTCTTTTTTTTATCTATTAGTATTATTTTATTTGTCTCTGCAACATCAGTAAAAGTAAACTGTGTTCATTTTAAAATCAGTAAAAAAAATTTTTTTTGCATATATCTTTGATGAAAACTATTTCTTTTGACTAATTTTGGTGTGCAGATACATATACCCAGTATCGAATACAAAAAATGAAGTTATTGGAAGTTACACGATAATTTTTTAGGCCTTAAAAGTGCTTTATTATTTGTGAAATACTTTTACAACCCACAAAACATTAAATTACAACTTCTCTCGGCAAAAACACCTCTGTTGTTCAGTTTATTTACAACATTAAATAACAAAAAAAACAACATTAAATTACAACTTCTTTCGGCAAGAACAGCGCTGTTGTACAGTTTATTTAGAACGTTTCTTCTTTTCCTGACGATTGTACAGATGTTTTGGCAAATTCCTCACAACATTCCAACAGTAAGTAGTCTGCGACCATTGAAGTATCGCACCGATCTTGGTATCTTCGTTCTATCGAGGATATATCTTGGCGAAATCGCTCACCATGTTCGTCACTTACAGATCCACAATTTTCGGGAAAGAATTCCAAATGAGTGTGAAGAAAGTGAAAGTGACAAGTTACACCCATGATCTCTGTACTCATCAAGAAGGGTTTGGACTAATACAGCATAATTGTCCTCTCTTTTTTTACCCAAGAAACTATTAACTCAAGCTGTAAATGCTTCCCACGATGCTCTTTCTTTACCCTGAAGAATATTAAAAAATTCCCCGTCATTAAGAAGCTCACGGATTTCTGGATCAACAAATACACCCTATTTAACCTTAGCTTCTCTTAAGTGAAGAACTTTTCCTCTTAAGTACTTGAGTGCCTTTCCTGATTGGTCCATTCTTTTGACAAAATTTTTCATGAGCCCTAACTTTATATGCAGTGAAGGCAAAATTTTTTCAAGGCCCTTTAGAGGGTTGTAAAGAACATTTCTTTGTCCAGAGGTCAGGACTTTGAGGCTATTCTTTTCTGATCTAATGAGATGCTCTGTCCTCTCACATAACAAACAACAGTACTTAGTATATCCTTGTTGCATGCTTAAAAGAATTGCTACCAAGAAACTATATCTTTGAAACTAGAGCTAACTGATGATTCTTATGTGGAAATTCGAATTATATGCTTGCTTCTGCTATAAATATTCTTTGAAATTTATTTAGTTACTCAAAATACCAATGCTAATTATATGGAATGTGATATTTATACATAAATTTATATAGTGCTTTTAAACTAAATGCTGTTAATTTTCTATTGTTGCTTTTGCCATAGCCTGTAACGCCAATTGACAGTGCTGATCAACATTTGCATCCTCCTGCTCCTGAGAAGCAATTCCTAATTTCACCTCCAGCATCACCGCCGATAGGCTGGGAGCCAACTGGGGAAGCTGAACCTCTCGTTAATTATGACCTCTTAGCCGCTATTGCTAACCTTACCCCTGGTGAGATCTTTATTGCCTTTTTATTCATTCATTCTTCCGTTTTCCTTTATTTATTTTTTTTCTGAGTTTAGTAATATGTGGCTATAAATGATATATTTCAATTTTTTATCAGTCAAGATTAAGAGATGGTCGATAAAATACACATATGATGATGTGTCCTCATAGCAATTTTTGATTCAAATTGAGGAATTTTCTTTCCTCCCTTCTGTTAACTTTTTATGAAAAAAAAATTAATGTCGTTAACTTACAAATCTGGTTTAAGAGTAAAAGATATATTCAGATATCTGAGATTACTCATTTTTTTTTCTATTTATTGCAATGCTTTTTTTCCTTCCTCGTTCTCAATTTACTTTTTTTAAATATGTAAATTTTAATAACTGACTATCAATAAAGACGAAGAATATTATACATTATTGTATGTTTATTTGTATCAGGCCATCGTTTTAATCAATTATATGTTGTCAGATTTTCAGTCAAAATGATTTAAAAAACAATAACTTAGTTTTTATTATCTCAATCCAACATTATTTTTTATTAAATTAACAATGTTTCATTATATACACACAAAAAAAAAAAAAAAAAATATATATATATATATATATATATATATATATATATATAAGTTAAAATCTTTATTATTTTTATTTTAAACAAAATTTAAAATTAAGAAAATAAAATCACTGTGGTACTTCTGTGTCTATGAAATAATTCTGTCAATTTTTATTTTATTTAAATATAATTAAAGGAGAATAAACTTTGAAAGTACTATTATTAGTTTTATCATAATCTATTATCTTCTTCAAATATCACTTATTTTTCAGATCCCTTCATGAGATTCATTTAAAAATTTGCTATGAATAGAGTGTTACGTCAGCTAGACAGTTTTAAAAAATTTGATGAGCCCAATTTTTTTTTCTTTTTTTTTTCGTAACATTATATCTTATAGTAATGAATTAGATGGAATAACTTTTCTTTTTATTTACTTAATTAAAATTTTTTATTCCAAACTGTTGAACAGGAGGAACACATGAACTACATGCAGGCTCTGACAACCAACCAGGCATCGTAGTGCATGTCTGCGAGGAGACTATACCTACCCCTCAGCCGGCTTCCGTTAAGCCTCGCATCATGCATACCAGGTGTCCTCAGCATAACTAAATTTAATTATCTCGACTGGACTCTTTATTCAACCTGCTTAATAGTATTTTATTGCTGTATTTTTCTCTCTCTTTCTAACTAATTGTGTTAATGAAATGTCTTTGTCATAAATGTTTAGCAATTTGACAGTAGATTTAAAAAAAAAAAAAAGAAAGAAAATGGTTCATAGTGTTTTCAAACTTTCTATATCTTCCTTCTCTTATGAAAATATTAATACTTCTTTTTAAGTCAACCAATTTAAAGCTTTACATTATTTTATCGTTGATATTAGAACAATTTAAATATATTTAGCTTTTATAAAATCAAATTTTAAGCGAACAATAGACAGGTAAAACCTAAGTTTTACTATTGATTTTGAAAAGTCATAGAATTAGACAATTTTGCAGATTTCGTTTAGTATTAATAGAATAAATAATTGTTAAAATATTCACCTATGGATCTTTATTTGAAAACACTTTATTTCACTCTTTCTAAACACCGTAATTTATACTTAAGTATTCTTTATTATAATTTATACTTTATGGGGCTCCTGAATATAAGAGTTAATTCAAAATATGAATATATTAAGTTTTTATACTTTCAATGGTTCTTTATGGTATATAGAATATCACAATGTGAACATAACACTGTCGAGTATTTAGATCTATGATGTCTTATAATTAGCAAGTGCTATTTTCATTTACTTCTATCTATTTTGTTAATGAAAGTAAAAGATCTGAATAATTTTTTTTTTCAAATTTAAGGTTCCTGAGGATAAAATCTTTATAGTTTTCATCCTTGACATACACTTGTATGATATGTGATTAAATTGTATGATAAATAAAATAAATGTTTACAGTTGAAGGAAAATGATGTAATAGTCAATAACAGTATAAAAAAGTTGGCAAGCAATATATTTAATTGTTTATATATTACATGCAAAGCATGTTCATAAACAAATAGTGTTTATATTCACAAAAATGAGTATTGCTAATTTAAAAAAATAATCAATTGGAGGGGGGTTGAGTTCAGGATCAAACTATTTCTTCCTTTTATAAAAATATTACTCAATAAAATAGTTTAGAGATGGGTAAATAGTAGACTGATCAATTATGAGGACAAAACTAAATCATCAGAAATTACAGCCACGATGATATTTATTAGGTTAGTCCATGTTTCGATCCAAACCCGTGGATCAACATCAGGGCTATCGTTCAGTTGTCGAGAAAAGCTCTGATGATGACAGTCATGTTTGGGTTGAAACGTCGGCTAACATAATAAATATTATCATGACCGAAATTACTGATGATTTTGTTTCATCCCAAAAAAAAGTTTTTTCTAACAAAATTTCAAGGTTACTAGAAAAATAGATCTTAAAACATTTTATATTTATTGTAGTGTGGTGTGGCGTATAGGAGTTTAAATGTGATCATAATAAAAAATTTAATTTTTTAATTTCTTTTTTTTTCTGCTCAAGAAAGGAATCATTTCTAGAAACCGATTAGATTATGATATTTTAGTTGCTAATTAAAAATTATTTTTAACTTTCATTAGAATACTCATTTTTATAATGAGAATATAATTAAATATTAAAATTTATTTCAACAGTTAATTAATTATGATTTTTTATTAAGAAGATGCTATTTAAACGGTTGCAGAGATAGAATGACCAAACTTCTATTTATTTTTATTTTTAGTAATGTAAAGGAATAACACAATTATCTAGTACTTTATCCAAATATTAATAACTTATTTATATTGTAATGTATAGAACAAAACTTGTGCTAATTAATCAGCAAAATTTATTTCATTCTTGAAACTGGTCTCCCAGGTCTTGGATTCATTAGTTCTATATTCAAATGACTTGAGCAGGGCTTCTAAAAGTTATGTGTTGTCCATGCACACTCTTGGAATTTTACGTTATGTTAAAAAGTAATTAAGAAAAAGGTCTTGAACCTAACAAAAAGGTCTAAATACAAAAAGAAGTCTTGGACCTAAAACTAATAAGTTGGAGGATGTAAGGTTAGTGTCAAAATTGTATTGCAGAAACCTGTAATGACTATTCTAGTTTAATAAACTCTGGGTTATAGCACAAGTTTAAAAGATTTATTGGTAGAAAGGGACAAAAAGTCAGTAAGATTTTTATTAGGAAAGTAGTTCTTTTATATATATAAAATTCAAATGGCAGGAACATCTTTTATTATTTAAAAAAAGGTACTGGGATAATTTTATAGTTAACTCTTGTGGTTGTTTTCAATTCTACTGTAAAATATTAAAAATCTTTAATTTCTGTTGTGAATTAGGAGAGCTATCATTCAGGCTTTAAACACATCTGAAGTTAAATTCATGTATATGGGGAAGTAATATTAGATAAAGGAATATCATTTAAAGTTGTAGCTAAAAACTTTAGGACTGAATTAGACTCTAAGTAAGGTAACGATGGTGATTTATATAGTTTAGGTAATTTTCAATTCGTAGTTGTTAGTTTCAAAGAGTCATGAGTTCCTTTTCACTTTTATTTTAAAATCAATTCAACAAAGTCTCTGTATTTTGCATTCCACTAACTGGCACCAATTATTTTTTGCCTCGTTTAAAACTAAGTCATGTATATTTTTCAGTTCAACTAATACATTATGTAATTAATTTTCTTTTATTTGAATGAAAAAATGTTTTATATTCACAGGTACATTTTTGATTATAATTTCAAAATTCAGTTATCCAATGTCATGTCAGTAATAACTATGCTATATGAGAGAGAGCATTTTATATTTCTGCTTGGGATAAATTTATTGTTGTGTAAATTGTGAAGTATGCTATGTAATTTAAAAAAAATGCATTTTTCATATTCATCACATTACGATTGCATGATCACTGAATATATTAACTATGATTCATTCATAAATATAAATTCTTTCTCTCAACTGTAATGATATTAATGTGAAACAACAAGTTTTTCAATACTTCACAGTTGACACAATGATTTAATAGTAATCGTAATTGCTTGACTTCTTGGAGCAAACTTCCCTTTTATTTTTAAGTAAATTATTAATATTGTAATAAGTTAGTAAAATTGAATTAAGTCTAGTCAAAACTTGATTTTAACTTTTTATAAAGCTAAAGACATTTTTCAATCGTAGCTAAATATTTAAAAAAGCTTATTGAATATAAATTTAAGACAATAAATAAATTTTAGTTTAGATTATTTTGATTTTAAAATGTAACATTTGGTTGTATTGATTAAAATATTCTAGTATTTGTATATTTAGCAGGTTTGATTTTTTTTTTATAATTTGCTGGCTAATAAATGCTGGATGAAGAGGTTTACTCAAGCCTTTCATTTATGATAAATTAATTGTATATATTGTGTGTATATTTTCTTTCTTCAGTTAGAGAAGAAAGTTTTGTAAATTTTATGGCCTTCACGTAGTTCTAGTGAGAATTCTTATAAATTTTATTCGACACTTTATATTAAAAGCATAATAACAAGTTATTCTTAACTTATGATTTATGTTTTGTATATTGTTTTATTTATTGTAAATAGTTTATAATTTGAAGTATTCTATTAACCATGTAGGTTATACCAGTAATGAGTGTGTGGGAGTGTATATTCTTTTTATAATTTGTACAGTGTAATTCAAGTAGTTTATCAATACCCACTATGTTACAATTGGTTTTGTGACAATGGAAAGTGTAAAATAAAACTCAAATAGTGCTTGTGAAACTATGTTACTTCTACTGTTTACTTTAATCAGTAAACTTTTAACTTTTATATTACACATTACAAGGTGTAATTCTTACTTTATCTTTGTTATTGTTATGTTATTAATATTGTAAAGTATATGTTTTTCAAAAAATAATCAAGAAAAAATAATAAATTTTAAAATATGATATAACTTGCATTATTTTTAATCTTATTTTCAACAACTCTCACCCACATAGCTGTCTCAGTATTAACTCATTTATGTATTTTCTCTTCAATTTTTGGGACGTATAAGTTTGATTGATGATAAACTCTTTTAAACACTCTTTGATCATGGATCAAACTTTTCTAGGAGTAACCCAATACTGGTGCAAATTATATCCTGAAGAGACAAGTATCCCAAAAATGTCCAAATTAAAATTATAAAGAAAACACTGATATATTACGAGTGGAGGGGGAGGGGGGTGGCCGAACAGACTACCGTGTGTGCACAGCACCACACATTGCCTGGCAATCTGATAACCAAAGTTTGGATACAATAAAATTATGAGTGTCCCGATGCCTGGGGGTCTTTTAAATTCTCCGCCCTCACTCCCTGGCCCTGGAAAATCCGATATTGCCTGAAAAGGCGAGGTAGGGAAGAACAAGAAAAAAATTAAATAAATAAATTACGAGTTATAATTATGTTGAATTAGACCTAGGGCAAGAAGTGAGAAAAATATAATTAATGAAAGATTAAAATTATAAATTAATATAACTCATTTATTATTAATAATTTAACTCAATTAATAACTCATTAGATGATACATTTTAATATTTTATATATGTTCTACCAAGAATGTTGTGCACTGATAACATTTTTTAATAATTATAACCCAGCTATTGACAGTAGGACTTTTTGAAACTATTTAATTGTATGTAATTTATGTAGAAGTATACATACGTTATTCTTTATGTGTTGGTGTTTGTGTATAAGCTAATAAGCTTATAATAATAAGGGAGATAGAGTTTCATGAAGAACAAACACTTGAAATTTATGAAAAAGACTTATATTAAATACATCACCTTTATTAATCAATAATTAATTAATTTTTTCATTTATGTTTTGGGACATCATCAGAACAATTTTAATGCAATTAAGTATTTTATTGTATTAAAACTATTATCGTCATATTTTAAACAACTAATATCATTGCAATAAGTTATTTACCTTATAATTTAAACTCATTGTAAATTAAAGAAATTATTTAGTCATATATTATCATATTAATTAATGTACCATTATTGGCACAACAGACGCATTTAGCGGCCCTTGGCCTGCTCAATGATGGATATGCCATTTTTTAAAGTCTTCTTTTACCTTATCTATCCATCTTGCCTTTGGTCTTCCCCTAGATCTATCTCCCTCCTGCTTCCCATGATAAAGCCTTCTCGCTGCCCGCACTTCATCCATTCTCAGGACATGTCCTAACCATTTCATTCGTTGTACTCGAGCGAATTGGGAGATAGACAGATCACCGTACATTGAGTATACCGCCTTGTTTGTTCTCAAGCGCAGAACTCCTTCCTCCAGTTTAAGCCCCATTATTCGTCTTAGTATTGCACGCATATGTTGCAACTGGCCGAATAATCATTTTGTATATCCTAAACTTTGTTGTACGACTTAACAATCTACTTTTCAGAAGGCTCGTTAGAGAAAAGTATCCTCTGTTGGCAGCCATTATTTTAGCTCCTATCTCGTCTTTGTTATTGCTATTGTTAATTATGGAGCTGAGGTAGGTGAAGCTCGATACAGCTTGAAAAGTATGGTTTTCCCAAGACATAGCGCTGTGGTGGATGGACAAGTTTTTTTTAGCCCTGATTATAATTTCTAAAAAATATACTCCAATCAAATTCATACTATATTTCCACAGAAATATGTCAAAACCTAAAAAAGGTAGGTAAGAGATATAAACTAATACAATACTATATGACCATAGACACTCATGAAAAACTAGAATTGAAGAGAACTAATTTTAGTAAGAAGAGTAAGAGCCCATAGAAAAACACTTGGAAGAATATAAATTAAGAAATTTAAATATTATTATTCCCATTAACACTCTCAACCTTCAACAAAAACTTCCCATAAATGTTTCAATTAAATTATACCAAGCAAGTTGGAGGTTTCAAATATACACAAAAAAAAAAAAATAATAAAAAAAATCTACGCTCGTTTTGACAAGACTTTGTAACCTTTAAAAATGATATACTAAAATTGTCCATTTTTCCTGTAAACAAAACTCATAGTAGGTTGGTCCAAGCCAATGAAATACCAACCTAATAAAAATTTATATTTTTATTATGTGACTATTGCATTAATTAATTTTTATGTTACTTTTGAACTGAAGTAAGGCTATTCTATAGCTATGAGGTCATTTGTCAGTTTAATCTTTAATATTTATTTTCTATGCATTCAATTTTTGCGGCAGATTTATTTTATCTACTCTGTAATTAATTAAAAATGCTCTTTTTAATTTGTTAAGGGTTTATAAGTTAAATTTTAGTTTAACATGGTACCTTCCTTTTCCTTAAGCCAGTTACATATGTGTGATTCTCAACAGTCATTTTAATAATACAAATCTTCAATCTTAGTCTCCGTAAAAGTAACCCAACCTCCAGAGTGTTTCCTTTGATCTAGCTGGATAAATAAAGTTTAAAACCTTTCTTTTCAAATGATAGCTTTGTCTAGAAAAAATGTAGCTTAGATCTTACAAAACACTAATACTTGAAAATTTTGAATATGATTGAAAATATTTTTATTTCAACAGTTCAAGTTTCTCATATACATATATATATATATGTATATGAGAAACTTGAACTGTTGAATATATATATATATATATATATATATATATATATATATATATATATATATATATATTATATATATATATATATATATATATAAATTTAAATTTCTATTAAATTTTAAGTATAATGGAAAAATATTATTTAGACAATTTATAAAATATTGATATTTTGAAGAAATTCACAAACATTTTTAATTGACTCATTCTCAAAATTACATCAAGTTTCCTTATTCTATTTGAATAAATAAAGATGATAGGCAATAAAATACATGATTTTAAACTGAAATGCTTTATTTTTTCGTTTTTTAGAGATTCTTGATTTCATTTTCGATCCCCTTTTTTTTAACAATAAATTTCACAACCAATAAAAAAATTCATTCAAAAGAATAAAGTAAAATTATATAATTAACTTTATTAATTTGAAAATAAAAATCATTATAAAATACAGTTCATCAGTAAACTGACTTAATAAATAGATTTCACTGCATTTTTTTTAGTTTTTTTTTTATCACAGATAATTTGTAGTTAACATACATAAACTTAAATCTTAAAACAATTCCACTGTTTTATGTAGTTAACTAAGAGTAAGAAAATAAATATAATGTTCAAACAAAAAATCGTATGCAGCAAAGACCAAAGAACAAAAAAAGATGTTGAGTTTAATAAGGATGTAACTTATACAAAAACATCTTATCATAGAAGAAATTCGGAATTAAATTGAATAAAAAAAGTTCCACTGTATTGCTGGTAACTTGAACTTTAAATAGACATTGGCAATAGATAAAAAAAATTGCTTTTGATAGCATGAAATAGTGATGAAGACTTGAAGTAATAAGAAATTAATAGTGAGTAATAGTGAATATGTACAATTATATGAACAACAGTAGATATTTATACTTTTTTTTTTTAATTTTTGGACATACTATAAACACATTGGCCTTGTTTCAAAAGCCTTGTTTATACTCGGAGATATAACAATTCATTATACTAAAAAGGATCATTCATCTAACATCATATTACATTTGAAGATTTTATTACATTATGATAATTAGAAATTAATTTTTTCTAATGTGCATTATGAAATAATTTATATTATCCGCTCTTAAAAGTTTTATAAAAACAGCTTGTAACTTTTAAAAATCATATGACATAATTTAATTTGATTATAAAAGTGTACCAATGAGTACAACTACGAATTATACTAATAAAGAAAAATTATGAACACCAGGCATGAAAATAATTAAGTAACTTTCTCTTAATAAAATTATTTTATTTAAAGGTCGATTAAAATTACTAACCTACATCCTAAACGTTCGCTCATTTTCATTTCAAGTCTTCAATTAATTCAACCATGCTATTCATGATATATCTTATGTATATATAAACATCAACAGATTTCTTATACAATTATATACAAAAATAATTGTGGTACACAGTGATTTAAATGGACATTTTCAGAGCCAGATCTACAACTACATATTCGATACTGTTTTTAAATTATTCCTATAAGGAAGCAGTAAAGCTCAAAACAAGCCTCGTATTTTGATCAATTAAGCAATAAATTATTGAATGCTTAATCATTATGAGTAACTAATTTCATTCATAAAGTTTAAATATATAATAATAAGATACAATATTTACAAAGTAATCGTACACCCGTTGTTGATTGTAACAGACACACAACTATACAATGGTTTTATACATAAGTATTTAGCAACTAATGTTACCTGACAACTTCATGATAACCAATAACATTTAACGATGAGGAAAAATACAAAAATAGCGCAGAGATAATATTAAATATCTTCATAAAGAATAATCATGCCATGTAAATAAATGTATTTATATCGTCCTCATCCCTTCGCATGTATTTATGTTCAATTAGCCATTCTATTTGCTCTTTGATCATTTTTTTACTTGGTAGGAACATATTTTTTAAAATGTCTATTAACTCGGTTTGGAGCTGTGCATTACTAATCCTTTTTCGCATTTTTAGTATTTTAATTATTGCCTCCTAAAACATGAATAAAATAAAACAATATAAATAAAAAATAATAGTTTATAAAATAATATAAATAAGATTTAGTCCAAAGAAGAAAATATAGTAAAATAATACTTTATAAAAATCTACTAACTAAATTATACATGGAAAATATTGAAGTAATTTAGCAAAAAATATATTGGTATTTTTCTTATTCTCCTTTTTTAACCAACTTGTGTTTAAATAAATCAATTTAAATTTTCAAAAACACCAACAAATCTTAACATAGAAGAGTTTAGAAAACAAGCATTACATCAAACATTTTAGTAAAACTTATACCTCCAATTTTTTGTTCTCACATATTTTTTGTCATTTTAGATATTTCATAGCAACTATAATATAAATAGATATCCATAAAATGAAAAAAAAAAAAATGCTCTACCTGAACTCTCAATATCCGTAGCTGAACTATACTTTCATTATCTTCTTCTTTGCTTCTCTCAGTTGATAACTGCAACCTACCAACTAGATTTATTTTCCCCCTTTTTTGTAATTTTCCATTTTTGCTGAAATACAGATGAACAAAAATTATTACATCATTCTAAATGGAATAAATAATCAATAAAAATAATTAAAAACTAGTCTTTTTAAACAGTGAACAGACTTCAGCATCATATTAATAATAATAAAATAATATTGGAGCTATTGCTGATTGTTAATTAATTATTAGAGTTGGTAGGGAGCACAGTCTGTAATTAAACACTGTGCATTCATTGTAAAAATTTATATATATATATTTTTGGTGACATTTTATGGTTGGTATTTTTTTTTATGTACTTAATAAAAAATGTTTGAATTGATGAGTATGATCGAAATTTACAAACATATTCTTTAAAGTTTAGGTCCTCAAAATTATGCTTATTATATTTTTTTTTGTATCAAAACCATATTTATTGTAATTGGCTTATACATCTTATCAATAAACTGATGATACAGATATTCGTGGCAAAATAAATTAAGTTAGTGCTTAAAATAAAGGCTCTGAACACGCAATAAATTTTTTGAGCAGGTATTTATCAAGAAAAGAAGAAATTGTGGAATTCGTTAACATTCATTTATAAACCATCTCCGTTCCAACCACTTTTAATTAACAATAATTATCTTTTGCTAATACGCATTAGGTCAATTTGAGAGAATAAATATATAGTAATTAGTAGTTTTAAATGAATATATTATACCACCTACAATTTTTACTTTAACTTTATTATGTATGAACACACCTACTTCCACATGTAATACTAGAAGTAGAGGGAGGAAGAAGAGTACACTTGTGTGATGCGCATTGTGCACCAAATTTTTTTCTCTTATTTATTATCATAATTATGAATAAAAAGGATATAATATAAATAAGAATTAAATTATACTTACACTAGACCAAATTCTTGATTAATCCAAAATACAGTGTTCTCATCAAAATCTTTTGGAGACTGAACTTCTGGTGTATAAATTACAACTTGCCTTTTCAACTTAGGGAATGCAACCAAAGACTGTCAATATATGAAATAATTACATATTAAATATTTAAAGAAAAAATATTTATTAATGAAACAAATTTAATATAATTAAATATATTAAAAGGGTTTTGAGTTCTGAAGAGCTACTAAGAGTTTGTAATATCATTTGGAACATTACATTAAGTATGTAATAAATGCGGAGGTTTGATAAAGATATAAATAATTACAATCAAAAAACACAAACCCATAATGTTCTTCTCAGCTCTGGATCCGGAAGTTCAGTTGCTAACCGGAGATTCTCATAAGAGATCTTATCAAATGGTCGTTGGTTCCATGCAAACAGAACAGCCATTTGGAAGGTGGTGACATCGACATCAAATCTCCCAATTCCATTTGAAAATGTAATCTGAAATAGGATGAACCATTGAAGAAGAAAATGTCAATGTGAATATATATATATGTCTGTATATATTTATATCTCTACTTGAATATAAATTATTTTCTGGCAATGTTGGGCTATTATAAAATTTCTAAAGTGCATTTTTAGCCAAGCTAAAGCTTAAAGTTAGCAGTTAACAAATCATTAATACCATTAAAATAACAAAAATCCTATTTATTATATCCATGGCTGATAATGGATTGTATGACTATTAATTATTAAAATGTTTTTTTCCCATTGCCAAGTTTGCTAAAATGGAATTACGAAATTTGCATTGCCTTTCATAGATAGGTCAACAGTTGTCACAATAATTTTACAATTAGTTCTTCAATTAGTTACAATTCTTATAAGTAGATACTGAAGGGATGTCACAAGGGGAAAATTCATAAATTTCACTAATTTAATTTTCTAAAAGTTGATGATTGTTCGGAATAACTAGGAAGGTAATGTTACTTTAGATGTATAATTGTTTGGAAATAATAAACCATTGTGAAGTAATTTGCAGCGTTTTTTAAATATAATAGCATTTATATTCTTTTTGTGAACAAACTGAGTTACTGCATGAATAGATAAAGTCCAAATTCATAAAAAGTCTTACTTCAATTTCAAAGTTTATCTCCATCAATAATATAACAATATAGGGTGTATAAAAAAAAAAACCGTTTTTAACCTAATATTTGTATTACTATTTCTTTGATATAAAATAAAATTAATACCCAAAGTATAGTCCATTGTTATCTACCGTCATTATCCATCTGCTAGCCAATTGCCTGACACCATTCTTTGGGATGGCCGCCAAAGAATTCTTGGACCGCAATTTCAACTTCCAGAAAATTATAATTTTTTTCCCTTGAAGAAAATGGGCCATGAATCTAAATAAGTAGGAATCCGATAATGTGAGATCTGGTCTATATGGTGGATGAGGCAGGAGTTTTTCTGGCAGCGGTTTTTCAATAAATTTTCACAAATTTCTAACCTCTTAGCTGATTGCTGAGGAGTAAGTCAGTGAGGGAGCAGTCTACTGCTTTTTTTCACCTTCCTCATGGAGAGGATATGGCGACTAACAGTATCTTTCGACACACCACACTCCCTGGCAAATTCACCAGTAAATGGATTTGACTCAGCAATTTCCTACAGAACATCATCAATATCCATTAATGATCGCTCGGGTCCCTTCCTTTCTAACGTCGTATCTCCACTGCTAAATTTTTCAAACAAACGCCGAATAGTGCGCTAGTCAAGGACACCTTCCTCTACATATTTAATAATTTCACAAGTTGCTTCAGCGGCTCTGACATTTTTTTTCCAGTATTGCCTTGAAATTACGAGAATTTCGTAGGAAATTTTTTTTAAAAAGTCGAATGGGATTAAAAAAACTTATAGAATGCTCTAAAGGGATTATTAAGTATTGGTAAATATTAAATAGGATTAAAATATTTACAGTCCTTTGAAATCTTGAATTTGATAAAACGGTAATTTTTTTTTTTATACACCCTATTACCTAAGTTGGAAATTATGCATTAAACTGGTATTATAAAAGTATATTTTTTATATTTTGATTATGAAAGATACTTTATTCAGTTCATGTGAAGCTGAAACATTTAACAATACATAATTTTTATTAAATAGTAAATTAATGTTAAATAGTGTTGTCACTACTAAGTATTGAGTATGAATACTTACTGAAGGAATTTTTTGACATTAATGAAGTAATACTTTAAACAATGTCATTGCCTTGATTCGGTGGATTTTAAATACATTTTTTTGAAACTTAAAAAAAAATTTAAATGTTTATTTCGATCAGGATAAGCATTTTTCTTTTTTTCTCCTTTATTGAATTATCAAATTCTTGCAAAAGTTATATTTAGCCAATTTAGTAACTGCCAATAAGAGAGTTATGTTTTAAAAATAAACCAAACTAAAGGTACTTTAGAGGAAGACGTATATGAACTGAACCTAGCTGATATTAAATACAACTTAATAATACACTGATATACCGAGTTTAATAAAAATTGTTAAAAAGTGCCACTCCCGGTAATCCAATTTAAATGAAAAAGTTGCTGTCACATCGGAACCATATACAAACCTTAATACGAAATTTAAGTTTCGTACGACTTCTTGCTTTTGAGCTAGGCTGTTTACACACACATAGACCATTTTGTGGGACTTGGTTATTTCGCCTAAGGGGATTTCAAAACATGTATTTCCGCTGAAAACCGAGATTCGAAAATTTTCACGATTGTAATACTTTCCCTCACTATCTATTCCATATACAGGTAAGTGAAAGTAAGAAAAAAAAAGAAACTTGACTCAAATGAAACATTCATGAAAAAGTCACTATAAATTGAAAAAAATAAATAGTTATAAAAGCCAGCACTTCACAAAAACTGGAAACAGGTTGATTAAGCTAAGTAAAAATATATAACTACTTTAAACTTAAAAAATGGTACTTCAGAATATCCAACAAAGCCCATAGAAACTATTCAGTTGGTATACAAATTGATTTTTTAATTAACTGTCAAAAGCAACGAACCGTTCCATTAGACATATGATGATACCATTGAAGTTTCCTTCCGCTGTGTTTCTTTTTATAAAAGTCTTCAACCTCAGGTATGTAATCTTCTAATTCAAGTGGTAATGACACAGTTACTCTTTCACTTCCCCTAGCCCATGCACCAGCATTTAATATTTTTATATTTATTGATTCTGAAATATATTAATGAAATATGTTACAGTAAATATATTTCTTTGTTAGATAATAATCTTAAAATAATCAAATTTGTTATGGATATTTAAAAAAATATCTTAAGTATCCACCACAAATGCATAAATATTTATGTTACCTGCTATACTTCCTTTAGTAGATCTATATTCTTCTTTGAATTGTTGATTCAAATCTTCACTAACTTTAATATCCTGAAACATCCTAGCTAATTTATTTACATAATCTGCAGGCATACCAACTTCTCTCAACCTGAAAAATGTAGGAGTTGAAGTTTATCTGGTTATCACTTGAGATAAATCATTTGATATAACAGTAGTATATGTAATAAGTTTAATATAATAAATAAAGTTGTAATAATTTTAATTATTCAACATATACTCCTTAGAAAAACATCTTTCCAATGAACTATTAGCTATTCCCTCCACCTCCCCCCCCCAAAAAAAAATACTAAAGAAAGTATTTTCCATAACACCAGTTTTTAAAACTTCATGAAGTACTTAATTTGAAAAAAACATTTTTTTTTTAAGGATTCTAATATATTTCTAAATAGGTTTATTTCAATGCTGGATTTGATCCCTTTGTCTATTGTGAAAGATTGGTTATTGCTTTTGTATTTAGCAGAGTTAATTACATTTTCTCAGAGATTAAAAATGCTGAAAATGAGTTCCACAAGAAAATCTTTGGATTGTTAAATAAAAGATATTTTCCCCACATTTAGACAAGGACATTTATAGATACGTTAGTTACAAAACTGTAATTTTATTATTTAATTTAATATTTCTATTCTTATAAGCCTCTGAATTTAAGTACATAGAAGAACCTTACAAATTTTATAAAACATCTCAGCCACGGTTTGCACAACTAGAATTACAAAATCAAGAATTCTTCTGTTCTGCAATCAGTTTTAAAAGTTTCAGTATGAATGTTTTTAAAATTTTGCATAAATTAAAAATTTGGTCATAAGAAGTTGTACAACAGCATTTAACTATTGCAATGCGTAATGTAATTCAAATAACATAACGAATTTAACTTCAAAAATATAAAAACTGATGCGACAGCATTAGTATAGATTTTATATAATACAGTTTCCAAGTAAGATTTGCTTATATCAGAGGCAATTGATCATATAAAAGTATACCATTGATAGTAATAAAAATACCACATAGATTTACATAATATGCAAATCAAAGTCAATAAATTATTCAGTACATACCATTCTACCATATTTTCTTCCTTTTCTGAATCAGCAGAGGTGTCTAAGATCAATCTTCTAGTAAGGTGAGCTTTGTGAAACCTCATGAATACATCTTTATTTTGAACGTATTTCAAAACCAATAGCTGAAAAAGAAATCAGAATAATGTTTAATGTCCTATAAAAGACAGTTAACTTTATTGAGGAGTTAACTCTACACTAAATGTTTAATCATCAAAAAAAGCAACCTGGCAGATTAATTTTATAAAAACTAACTGGGTTAAAAATATATCAATGGTAGGCAAATCTTGTAAATTCCAGTCTCAGAGCTTTATACAAAAAGACATACTTGAAAGTGATTATGCATCTCTAATACGTAAATAAGTAAATATAGTACTATGTAACTTTATACACTTACTTATATACCTTTAAAGATTCACCAAAATGGAAACAAGAGGTTTCATTATCTATCATCAATGAGGACGATTACTAAGCATAAAGTTATTACTACTTTCTTATTGTGTAGAAATTGAGATGGTTGCTTTATCTCCGTACAAGTATTATTAACATAACTAGAAATCAACAATCAAACTTATTAAAAAAATAAAAATGTGAATATTTATAATGAATGGTTATATTTTAAAAAGTAATGATTATATGAAAATAAGTAAAGATTGACTTCATTAAAAAATACAAACATTTCTGTTAGAATAATTACATAAACTCAACACCAATGCAGGATTTACCATGATGTATATCAGTAGCGAATAAGTTTAGAAAAATTAGCCGATTTTGGTGGAATAAAAAAGTGAGATAAAGATCAAAGGAGTATGATCACACATGAGAGCTCACTGGAAACTTTAGTCATGGGGAAGAATACATACAAGGTGGAAGATACTTATAAGTTTCTTGCGATGAAATAAGAAACCAATGCCAATTTAAATCAAAGTATAAGAGTCACACGAATAACGAAAAAAAGATTCAGATGCTATTGATAGGTCTCTTGGGTATGATATCTCACAGATGCAATCACATAAATGCCATCTGATGACGAATATCATAAAATAAATTACTTGAACTACAGATACAAATCTGTACTTCGCAAACCACAACTATGAGACTGTAAATGACAATAGTCTGACAGGTTAACCAATATTCTAGAACAGAAGTTGATGGATACAAAAACAATTAGTCTGTGGTACAGACCAGTTTTTATCAAATTATTAACATCCGGCTGAAACTTAGTAAATAGATTCTTCTCATCGTAATCTACAAATATATTATTTATGAAAATTCTTGGAATTAGAGCGTTTACAATCTGAAGATCGGGGCAAACCTTGCCTATTTAATTAGGTACTAAAAACTCTTAAATATCGATTTGCTTTCTACTTGAATCGTAAGATAACTTGAGAACAAAATCTAGAAAAAAAGTTGGCCTCCAAAAACATTGAGCCATTAGACGAAACCTACATCCTCAAATTGTCAAAATAACGAGGTTATATAAGCCAAACGGCTCAATGTTTTTGAAGGCTACCTTTTTTTCTTGACTTTGTTCTCAAGTTATGTTACGATTCAATTAGAAAGCAAATGGATATTTACGAGCCTTTAGTATCTAATTAAATAGACAAAGCTTGCCAACCTTCAGATTGAAAAGGTCCCAATTCCGAGAATTTTCATAAATAAAATATTTGTAGGTTACAATGAGAAGTTGGAATCATTCATATAGCTCGGATCGCAGATAATCGTAATAACTGCATTGAAGAAGAAATTCAAAGACGGATCCTCTCTGCAAGCCACACCTATTTCTCCCTCCATAAACTCTTGAGAAGTAGTGTGTTGTCGAGGCCTCAAAAGTGAGAATTTATAAGACCATCATACAAGCAGTTCTTACATATGGCTCAGAATGTTGGACTACAACTAAAGCTCTTGAGCATCTCCTTCTCCATTTCGAAAGAAAAGTGCTTCGCCGTATATATAGCGGTATATATGAGGGAGGCGCATGGAGAAGAACGAATGCTGAGTTAAGAGCGAGGTACAAGGAAATAGATGTATCAATATTCGTAAAGGTATCAAGACTTTGCTGGGCTGGTCACGTCATAAGGATGGATCCAAACGAAGTTCCTTACAAGCTCTTAGCTGGGCAAATGTATGGTACCAGGCGGGTTGGACGCTCCAGGCTTCGCTGAGAAGACTGTGTGGCTGCAGACTCTAGATTTCTGTTCGGTGTTATGAACTGGAAGGCAGCAGCACAGAACAGGGAGGACTGGCGGTCTAAGCTTGAGCAGGTCATGACTCAACTATTGGGTCATAATGCCGAATAAGAAGAAGAATGAGAAGCTGTTCCTTAAATGTCCATGTGATAAAAGAAGTAAGCTGCTACTGAGTTTGAACAGAGCAGCTCACAAAAAGCTTACAGCAATCTATACTGACCACTGTAAGTTAAATTATCACATGTTCAATCTCCGAAGGAGAATGAAACATCCTTTCACATCGTTGGTTGATGTAATAGGTTTGCAAGGTTTAGACTAGAGTTATTAGGGGAGGATCGGGTGGATCACCATTGTAGCTATGAGTCTATTAATCCGATAAGCCTGTTAAGATATTCTAACGTTATTAGCCTACTAAACTAACGTTTTAGAAATAAAACGGACTGCATATATGGCACACAACAGATCCATAAGGGTCAGAGTGCTCTAAGCCAAAAGGTAAAAAAAAAAAAAACAATCAGAAGAAGCTATTTACGAAGTTTTAGCCAGATGTTAATAATTCAATAAAAAGGTGTCTGTACCCTGGACTAAATTTTCTCCTAAATTAGGATGTATAGTCATGAATTTCAGATTTAGAATATCACTTACAACATCTTTTAATTTCGACTCTATCTGGTCTGAGGTTAATCTTTTGCTGAGAGGTGTTTTTCTGAGAAGCATATCACAGTAGTTAGCAAGAAGTTCTGGGCATTTAGATTCTGGTTGGCTTTTAACACCACCACACTAGAAAAGGATGGAAAAAGATTAAATTAAATTAAGAAATAAACAATAATTCATATCTATCAAAAACAAAATCATAAGTACAGTAAACGTAAGTTTATAACAGGCTATAAACAATGCAAGATTAAAAACCAATTCTCTAATTTTAAGAGAGTGTAGTAAGCTACCTTTCAAATCAAAAATTTTAATTTATTTCAGTGATGAATATATACTTAAAGCAGACTGATTAAATATTATGGCAGAATCTGCATACAATCAAAGACAGGTTTTCTACATGTAAGGTATAAGATATGTTTAACAGATGATACTAAATAGCAAGATGTTTATAAAACTAATAACAAAAAAAAAACTAACTCAAATAAGCAGGAAATAAGAAAAATAAAACAAACAAAATAACAGAGATAAGAGAAATTGAAAATCATTGGAAATAGCTTGATTGTGCTCACATGATGAGCACAATTACTTGCCCACTTTTGCTAGAAAATATTTCTTGATAATTTTTGTTTGCAATCAATACATCTATATATTGATATCAATGTATATATTTATATACTATATAGAAAATCCTATATTAATACAAATTGAGTGTATACCTGTTTATTAGGCAGCTCAAGCCTAAATACAGTTGTATCGTTTACAACCTGCTTATAAGCTTTATCTCTTGCAGTCAAGAACCGTGGATCATCATTGAATGCCTCCTTTACAAGTTTACTGAACTGATTGAACAATTTAAGCAGCCTTTCTACGTATTTCTCAGAATCCTGTGAACAAAAAAAATATTTTAATTGGATATCACAATCAATATATTGCGGCTGGTTTGGAAAAATCTTCTATGAGCATCTTGGAACATTATTTTCCAGATAGCTAAAGTAGTATTGAGCAACCTAAAACACCAAGAAATAACTCTTATGTGTACCTTCAAAACTTTTATTTAAGATTTAAGTTATCAAAGAATTCACTCATTCAAGATCTTCTTTTCTATATTTCAAATAATATACAAAAGAGAATTTACTAAACTAACAATGATATATTGATAAGAAAAAAAGGTATATATCAAATAAATACCTGGGTTATAACATCCGCTGATGCGACCATATCAGCAAGCCCTGCATTAATTATATGGTCTTCGAGGTCCTTTAGCATTGGTGCTATACCATCAGGAACACGATCCATTAACTTGAACATCAGCTGCAACTCTGCAAAATCACAGCAAATTAGTTTATTTAAAACATAAAAATAAATCTTAATCTAATTCAGAAAAATTAAAAACATAGTATAAAATAATTGTTCCATTAAATTTTATTGTCATAATACAAAAATGCAATATCAGATATAAATCTATAGCAAAACAACAATTGAGCTACAGACTAAAATAAAATAAATGATTTTAATCTGATTGATTATAACAAAAAATGATAAATTTCAGTAAAAAGACTATAAATTCTTTTTAAAAATATTTACTTTCGGTTTCGTTGGATTTTATCATCTCCGCACATTCTGCTAGTATCGTATTTCTAAATGTAGACACAAGAACATTGACACAGCAATCAGTCAACTGAAATTTTTTAAAAAACTTATCTATAAAATCTAAAATATTAAAGCTTTAGAATACTGAAAGACATAAAAAAAATAAACATACAGCTTGTACAGATCCACTACATGGCTCAAGATATTTCTGCGCTCTAAGTTCTTCTTCTCTTAATTTAGCATCAGCATATTTCATGTAATTTTGCACTCCATTAGCTTGTAAATATTGAGGAGCTTTCATTTTATAAAAACTCTCGGTAGCATCAATATAAGCTTTTTCAAAATTTTCCCTATATATCTGAAGTTTGTCTTCAGGATTTGAGCAGAGATTAACTGGAATATAAAAATAAACAAAGTTAAAAGTATTATAAATACTTTCTGAAACAAAATGATCTGTGAATAGTGCATGAATAACCAAACAAAAAACTAGGAAGCTACTTTATCCTACACTACATTGGTACCAACAATATATATCATATTGATTAACAAGTTTTCCATGAGATATTTGATAATAAAAATTATTTGAACTAATGAAAAAATTATGAGGTGACTCATGAAAAAAAAACTACAAAAAATTAAAAGTACTTAAAAAAAAAAACTGAATGTCACAAATAATTTACTTTGTTATCATTTTATTCATTATAAAATCAATCTCTTAATCTTTTGTGCTCTCCATGACTTAAATAATCACAACATAGCCTAATTTAAAAAAGATTGGTATTTTAGGGAAATATTACTTTCTTAAAATAATTGTTTATATAAAATGGGTCCAAAAACATGGGCAAGTTCTTAAATTCTATGCTGAGCTCATTGATGGGATTGGAAATACATCAAACCATTCCTAAACTCATCGATGGAATTCAACATATTCCTTTATTTAGCTAATGAATCATTAATGGCTCCGAGGTTCCAGAGGCTTTTGGTGGCGATGTCCTTTAATAAATAAATCCTTTGCTAGATTTAAACTCAGTATTGTTATTTCTTAATTTACTTTACATATTTATACTCAGTTTACTTTTTATTTTTGTTTTGAATTTTAACAATGCAGAAAATAATTATTTCTTTATGAATTCGCAGGTGCTGCGGGCCAATATGATCCTTGGCCTCCTGAGTTATTCTTTTTCACTTCACTAGATATTTCCTTACATACGTTTTTATTTTCCATGTATTTTGGAACTTTAAAAGAGTATTAACCTTCCCCTGGAATCCATCAGGTCGTTCATAAACTCAGCATAAATATCTGTCCATCACTGCTGGATGAAATTCATTGATGGAATCAGTACTGAGTATAGTAACTTGCCCCATGTAAATTAAATAAATATAAAAAAAAAAAAAGAAATATATATAGATATATATATATATATATATTAGCTCCAACAGTCCCATGGTCACTCAAATGTGATTAGCAATACACATTCGATAGTGAAGGAAGAAATCAGGAAAATAAATTTGCTGTTGTGACTATTACAAGGGGGGTACTCCCTACAACAGCGGCCCACTCCCATTTCACAAATTATGCAACTGTTCATTTAATTACATATCACTGCTGTTAGTGCAAAAGGTCGTATATAATAGTGGGCGGGGTAGCCGAATCAATTAAATGATATAAAAATAGTCACGAGTTCGCATCCCGGTGCCGAGTGAGTCTTTTAAATTCCCGCCCACACTCCCTGGCCCGGGAAAACCCCGTATAGCCTTTAACGGCGAGGAAGGGGAGGACCCAAAAAAAAATATATATATATATTATTTTTTTTATTTATTAGTATAATTTTATATTTTACTTCCCTATACTATTTTGAATAGTAGCAGGCTATTTATTGCAGTTTCAAACTACAAAAATGTCATCTTTAGCACATATAGAATTAAGATGGGAATAGTTACATATGACCTTTTGTACTAACAGTAGTAATATGTTTTGAGCTCCTGTAACCTCCTACTCTCTTAATATGAGTAATACTGAGCCTAAAGGACTGGGCAGAAAATTGGAGTTTCTGGAATATCCTACTCTTCTAATACTAACTAGAGATGTTCACCTGGGTATCTTCATTACGGTCCATCCCACTTGGTATATATAAAATAAAATATGGCAGTCACTAAAAACTTTTTTATATAATAGAGATATGAATTATATACAATTTACTACATATTTTTTTAAGCTTTATCAATTGGCAATCTCTCCCTTTCCATTGGTAATCGACGATGGGCCAATGCCAGAAAGTGGTTGAACACAATTTCAATCCCTTTCAAGGTATTTAAAATCATCCAATAAGAGACATGTTGTCAGCAATAGTGGGAAAACACACAACTAAAATCCTAAATTTAAAAAAAAAATTATTTTTATCATTTTGAGATCTCTTTTTAAAATAGTAAGTAGTAGTAGCAAATATGAAATAGAAAAATTAATGATTAACTGTACACAAAAGTTAAGCAATGATAAAATAAACCATACATAAAATGTATTTGATTAACGCACTACTGCTAATGAAAGATTATCAAAATAGGCATATTTCTTCATGTGGTGCTTAAGATCCCTCCTAGAATGTTGAAATGAGAGCTCAATACACAGACGTTATTTCAAGTAAGCCAAAGAGGAAAAACTCATAAAAATCAGCTGAATCATAAGGAATTGTTGATGTCAACCCAATGCAGAACAGCCGATTTACTCTCAAAGGAAACAATAAGCAGAGCCTAGAAGAACAGGGAGTATCAAATTTCATTCAAATTATTACTATGAGCTGTAGAATTAATTTATTTTTATTTTGTAGGATACAAAGAGGAGAAGTAATGATCTACTTTTCTAAAGAAACTGAAATATGGAAATAATTAATAGTTTTACATTAGGTACTTAGTAACTCACCATAAGATTCTCTCACTCCTATGACTAACTGAGAGTCAAATGCTTCTCCATTTCTCTCAGCATGGACTAACTTCATGGCCGAATCTTGCAGCCTCTGTTTTATATCATTAAATATGCTTTGGTTCCAACTGTCAAGCATCAGCTAAAAGAATATTTTAATATTTAGAAAGCAGGAATCAATGGATATGAGAAAAATAAAGAATAATTCAATTATTCATTACACTTGTATGGCTTAAAACAGATTCAATTTTATTTTACATATATGTTTTTGCTTCATACATTCAGCTGTTCCTGAGATAGCAGGTAAATTTAAGTGCTTGGCAATTTCCAATCAGTCAAGCACTTTTCTTTCTAATTTTAATGCTGTCAAAGTTTTTTTTTTTTCCAACCCTCAATAAGAAAATTGATGGGAACTTCATGTTATAGGTTTTGTTAAGATTTCCACTTTTTAATTAGTTAATAATAATTAACTCATAGCAGCATTGCTGTTTCATTGAGCCAAATTAAAGTTAAATGATAATATTGCATGATAAAAAAATGCATCTTCAAAACTTAGTAAGAAATAATTTTCAAATGTAGCTTACAAACTCGTAGCAACAAGAGCTAAAGTAAGGAGACAATTATCTGAATCGACTGGTAATGTGGCAAACATTTGCTGAATAGTTGGCCATAAAAAAAAATGTGGCTCTTTTCTACTTTAATCACAAGTTATGAACAATTACTTAAACATATGACTAGAAAGTAAACTTAACCTAGAAAAGAATGAAATGTATGACGTTAAGCAGACGCTACACGGTAATTCATGAATGAACGTCACAAGAAGTTCCAAGATTGCCCGCTATCGCTTAGATCATGAAGACCCTTACACGTTCAATCATTACTGATCATTACTTATCGTTGCTGATACCAATTTAGCTCAGTTGTAAACAAAGAAACAGAATAGATATGCTTATTTGGACATTGTCATTTATAATATTGGGCATCAAGAGAAAAACGGAGATATAATAATTACTTCCTAGTGCCTGAAAATCGTTTATGAGTATATTGTGAAGTTTCCACTTTTTCTCTTCAATTTATTGCCTACTTTACTACTTAAAAAAAAATAGTTGAAAATGGTTAATAATAATATAGACTAGGGATATAAACAACTATTTACTTAATAACGAGACCTAGGTAAACTAACCTATCTAGTAGTAGTCTCATAGAAGGTTAGTCTCATAGAAAATCATTTTGACAAAAGTTAGTAAAATATAAGTCTACTACTTACAAAAATTAAGGAAAGGTATTTTGAAAATAATAAATTTGTTGAGGAAAATGGGAAAAGAACTGATAAATATACACAACGATAAAGTTTTTTTTTTCCTAAAGTAAATTGTGAAGTTTCCTCATTTTTTTTTTTAATTTGTTGCCCACTTGACTATTTAAAAGAAATAGTTGAAGATGGTTAAATATTTAAACAAGGGATATGAAAAATGATTTAACTATTTACATATAATGAAAATCAGAAATTTATAATGGTTGTGAGGCCTAGGTAACCTAACCTATCCAGCAGTATGGTTGGTCTCCCCAGCCCATATGTTTAGTCGGTCTCCCCTCCACTTCTCGTGAATGAACCTTTGATTTCCGGATGTTCGGAAATCCACAGCGCACCACCATCAGTACTTCATTCACTACCTTACACGACAATTCGGAACGTCATTAGTGCAATTTCGATTGACCGTGTAGGGTCCCCTTTATAAATATGAATTTATTTTAAGTGACCTAACATAAAAACAATGCTTATTCACTTTTCTAAAGGCATGAAACTTTTAATATAACACCTCCCTCCATTTGTGTAACAATTCATATCTCTGTTGAGTCATTATTACCTTCTTGTCACTTCCTAAAGTGGCATTTAGTTCGAATAGATTCATTTCTGCACTTTAAATGAACCTTTAAATGAACTATTCGTTTGATATATTTAACAAAACAGATGTTTGCAGTATCAATTATGAACATTATAAAAAAAAACCACTAGAATTTTTAAAGTAAAAAAGAGTCAAAAATGTTTTATACTCAACTACTACAATTCAGACAGAATTTGGTTAAAATAAAATATTGAAAGTAATTACATAACAAATTAAAATTATTATTAAGTAATAAGTAAAAGCAAGTTGCTATTAATACAAATCATGGGAAAATTTTTTGTAAGAATTACCTTTCTTACAATACTCTCTTCATTCTGTGGTTTCTTATTGGCTGACATGGATTTTCCAGCCAATGCAGTTTCTAATTGACGGAAAGGTGTCGGTAGGTAATCACATTGGGTGAAGAATTTTCTCCATTCTGCAATATATGCTTTAAGTAGAGCTTGATCATCTTGGTGAGAAAGAACTCTCTGAAAAATATAAAATATATTAACTAATGACTATTTCTACTTTACTTCAATTTATTCATTTTTAACCATGTATGATGTCAATAATAATAAATGAAAATGATTTAAACAGCAGATCATCAGTTTGAAATAATATTTTCTTCCCCTTAATTATATTTTGCAATTTTTTAGAATTAAAAAATAACAATAAAGCACTGATATAAGACAATTTCTCGTCTTACTAAATCTAAATCTGTATAGTGAGGAAAAATAGATATATTGTATATAATATAGAAAGGTATTGCCAAATAGAGTTGCACAAACAATTTTTTATATATCTATTGGCATTAAAAATAGATCATATATCAATTACACATTTTAAAGTTATATTTCAAAAGAAGTGATTTTCAGGATTTAATTTGATTTCCAAAATAGAATAAAATTTACTAAAAAAAACATCAAGCTACAAATTAAACTTTTCCTTCACTACCCTTCAGATCCTTTTAGTTAATATCTGACTTTTTCCTTTCTTTTAGGCTGACTGGTCATTGAAAGTGCAGCTGAGCTGGATCAGCTTACAAAACTGAATCAATGGTTTTTAATAACAGGCTGGTCACCAGATGCAGAGCTGAGCTGAGCGCAGTAAATTTTTGATTCAGCTTTGGCTCGACCGAGGTTACTGCGTGGCTTTGATCCCTAGTGTCAATCTTTTTTCCACTTGTTTTCAATGCACAACATCCAGGATTGAAGGTGTAATGCACCTAATGTGAAAACTCCTTAACACTCCGAAGGTCGCTCCAGATCTGAGAGATTCGCCAAGTGATCTATTTAATGTATTTATATACTGTTTGAGAGAGTAGGATCTTCCCTCTACGTATTCCCCTTGTTCTTGAAGTCTTACAATTCAGTAGTAGAATGACCTGTGTTATGTCAAAATTTTGTGCCAAAACTTGAAGATTGACAGTATATGTGGAAATTTTTCAAGGGAAAGGGATGCAATGACTGATACAATTGAAATCAAAACCTTTATTGGACTGGTACTTATTGTAGGAATGCATTAGGCAGGGAAAAGAAAATCTGGATGATTTGTGGGACTCAAGTGGCACAATTGATTCCAAGTTAGGAATCGAAATATTCTGTCCCACTATGTATGTACGAAGGTTTTGATTTTAACTTTGACGACCAAGAAACATGCCAACAACATAAAGAAATAGACCAACTGACACCTGTCCGGGAAATATTTGAAGTTTGTCAGAAACTGCCGATCTTGTTATTCAGTTGGAGCAGACGTGACTATTGATGAAAAATGGGAGGCCTTTAGAGGCTGATGTTCATGTTTTGATGACGTTTGAATTAATTATTTTTGTATCCAATTTAATCCTATTATAATTGTTCCTAGTATTCAGTGATTTTTGTGTTCGTATTTAATGGTATACAGAATTTAATGTTCAAGTTCCTGATTTTGTCAACGTATTTTTCATTTTGATTTTTTAAAAATTATGTAACTGTTTTACTCAATAAACTCATATTTTTTCTTTTTCTTCTAGTAAAATGGGAAATTTGTAGGTATTTTTTATCCAAAAATTGATTTAGTGAAGTGGATAAACAAACGTAGCTACTATTCATGTGACTCTAAGCCTAGCGGCCTTCAGAGTGTTAAACAGTAAATTAAATGTGGAAGGAAAAACAAGTGTTCCCCAATCTTTCCAGATTTGAATAATTCTGAAACAACTATTGCAGATACAAAAGCTAAAATAACAAAAAGATTAGAACACAATATGCAGCAGAACTTCATGTTAAGCTCTTATTTGCCAACATTAAAAACCATGATTTTAAATATCAATGTCTTCGTACATGTCCAGTTAATAAAAAGTGTATACTTTCATGCTTTTGTATACTTAAATTCAACTCATTAATCAATGAATGTGAAATTAAATAAATCCTCACACATATAATCGTTCTATTAATCTAAGGAGCAAACAATTTTCATAATTTAAAATCATGTTACGAATTAATTACTTTTTAATCTTCTCAATTCAACAATTAATATAAAAAATAATAAATTACCTGATTTAATTAAAGCTTTAACATGTCACTTAAATCAGTAGTCAATTATACTATAGCAACAGTAACTTGACTAGAATACATAAATAGATGACAATTTAACAGTAGTATGTGATGAAGAATGAATATCACAATAATTTAAAAGTAGTTTTACTTAGAATATGGAGCTCTGAGATGAGTATTATATGCACCTACTTTTTTTAGTCATTCTTTAGCAAACTTAGAAATAATAGTTTACCTGTTGGGCGCGCTTAATAAAATCCATAATATCATCTTTCAAAGCATCTTTCACTTTAGGTGGTCCTTTCTCATCCCACAGGCATACAACATGAACGGAGTAGAAAATACCATGCCATTCATTTTGCGTAACTGGCTCCTGCTGGAGCAACTTCAATATAGTTGGCCGCATAGATGGCCACTGATCTTCAAATGTTAACTGGCCCTTATCCTACAAGTTATTTCCATTTCAATGATATAACATGTATAAAGAACAAATAATTAAATAACCACTTCTCTTATATGATATAAATTTTAAAGAATTTTTTCAAGGCAATTTCACGCAAAATAAATCATTTTATAACAATGAAAATAGATACAATAACAAACTTATTACAAATAACTCTATAGATATTAACCTAAATGAATCAGTCAATTAAAAATGGAAATTTATTTAAAGATAACATATTATTACAGAATATATATATTTAGTATTATGTCCAAGACAAAAATAAAATATAAAATTCAAATGATAACATTAATATATGATAATGGTTAATGATTAACAATTATTCTAAAAACAGTTCCCGACAATTAAATAAGATTATATCAGGAATGAGTTATGAGCTAAATAATATTAATTTTCACAAGATTTAATATTTTTTCAATGTAATTACAATATCCCGGCAAAAATAAACAAACACACACCTTCAACATAGCCGCCATGACAAGTGAAACCTAAAATAACCAGTAAATTGAGTGAAAATTGAAGAAGCTACCTACATCGATTTTCCAACATATATCGAAAACAAGAAGTGAATACTTGAAGTAACTGTAGAATAGAGTTGTCTCCGGCGTTCCGAAGCTCTTAAAAAAATGTTGACAATCATTAGAATTCGTTAAGTGCTTAAAATTCATTTATATAAATTTAATATAGTTACCGTCATTAGTGATTATCATTTATCAATAACTCGGAAGATCTATAGTCCATTTGTTTTCTTCCAAAAATAGCTGTCTTAATGTCCTAAGCATAATGAAAAATCCCTTTTTTTTAGCATATTTTTCTGTAGTACAGGATTTCCCATTCAAAATTTTGGAGGTAAGGGAAAAAAATGGAAACCTAAAGGAGCGATATTTGGTGAATAAGGTGGGTGAGTGAATTGGTCGCTTCAAGCTCCACCAAATAAAGAGCATTATCTTCCTTGGATGCAAACTGGCATTGCTAGTTGTGCCGTTTTAGGCAATCCCCAATTTTTAGGCAATTATAGTGTTCTTGTACAGAATCCATTTTTCTTCACGAGCACAATTCGCTTTAAAAAGGAATCTTTCATGTTTTTTTCAGAAAGAAAGTCCATGTTTAAATTCGTTTCCTTAAGTTTCTTTCACTGAGCCCATACGAAACACTAATACCGTAACAACAGTCGTACCCAGCCTTCTTCAGATGGTCAAAAACGATTTATTTGTAAAAATTTAATGTTACAGCTATCACAGGGACAATAATACTTGGATTGTTTGCAACGAGAGCCGTGATATCCTCGTTAAACTCTGGCCGGCCCCGAAACATTCTTTCAGATCGAAATCTTCAGGCCTAGACCACGAAAAACACTTTTTAAAAGGACGCTTTCAGCAACTGAATCGTCGCCATAAAATCTTATTTACATGTTATACGCGAATCTTATTTGCAGTTTTGGTCGCATTTTTTTCTTGGCGAAAATGGGCTTTGTTGCCACTCATGTCCAATTTGCACAAACAGTACTTTCTTAATACTGTTTTGAAAAACCCACCGGTATTTGGCCTTCTTAACAACATGAGTAAGATATTTAGATACATGTTGCAGCACTTTTAACTCGACAGTGGTTTATGGTTTCAAGTACTCAAGAATCTGAGATGTAGAAATCTCCATCTTTCTCGATTCTGATATGATTTTAATGTGGTGTTCTACAACTTCACTGAATTATAAGTTTTCTTTATTTTGTTTTTATTTTTTATTAAGTTCAATTTCAGACAGTGCAGCAATGGGAAATAGCTAGCGGCGGATCAAGCAGCCGCATAAAGGGCCTCTTACATGGTCAATATTATTGAGTCAATATCGAGTTTCGTCAATATATTTACCGTGTAAGGGCTACATTGGTATCAATTATATTAACGTCAATCAATTTTTTTAAAAGATAAAATGGAAATATGTTTGGGTAGGTGGGTGATACTTTTTTTACTTATATTTTTTGGAGGGCACTTCCTCTCATCTCTCACAGTTTTTTTTAAAAGTATAAAATGGCAATATGTACTTAGGTGAAGGATACTTTTTTGGAGGAAGGAAAGGAAGAAGCCCCCTTAAATTTTTAAAAATATTAAATGGCAGTAGTTTATGCCATCTAACTGTTTCGAAGTTATTTTTTTTGTTCAAAACTTGATTTTTATACATTTTATAAAAAAAAAAAAATTTTTTTGTTACAAAACTTTTTTTAAATATTAAATAATTAGGAGACAAGCGTTTAGACATTTCACAAACAAGGAAAAAAAAAATCTAGACAGTTGTTTCCCTTTGCTAGTGTTTTTAGATCTCGTTTTTGAAGTTTTCCATTCACTGTCGGTAACAAAAGAAATGAAAAAAAAAGGTTTAGCTTAACTCGAATGCCACTGTTAACAAACAGTTAGATAGTTGTACTTCCCACAGTTTGCGAAATATCTAAACGTACCTTTAAAATTTCCTATGTTAAAACGGGCAGGTTCCTGTATTCAACGCTGAGATCATTGACGACTATTGGAAATCCATCAATGAATGGCGAGATTAACGAACTTATACAAACTTTGGAAATAGCTAAACATTTCGTTTAAAATCTCTAACAACCGAATCATAAAATAGATCTGCAAAATGTTAAATATGTGGCCTATAAGTTGCACACTTCAAAATTGTTTTTCTTTTATTCTCCTTATTCGCCTTTTATGATAAACGGGGTGCCCAGGAGAAAAGGCGGGGAATTGTACCGGAGTTAAAAGTTCTCTCGGCACCGGGATTCGAACACGTAATCTTAGGTTTATCAGGTTACCAAGCAACGCGTATTTTATACGTGCATTAGCCTCCTCGGCCACTCTGCCCTTACTAATGCAAATTGTTTCAACTTTGAATAATTTTAACTATTTTTTTTTTTTTTTTTGTAGGCCCCAAAAATTTTACATATTAGCTCTCCAAATTCTCTTGATTTGCCCTTGGAAACAGCGACGTTGATTCCTTGGCTGCATTTAAAATACTAAATATTTTAGTATTTTTCACTTTCTTTCCTGACAAAATACTCTCAAGATCACTGAAACAAATAGAAAATGGGACAATGAGTTGCAAAAAACTTGCACTCTATGTTAATCATTTCCTTATTTTGAAATATTTGGTACAATGAATATAATACATTAATTTCCAAATATTGTTTCTTACTTAGTTGGCTTAGTTACATTTTTGTATATCTTTGCAGAGAAGTAGGTTTCAGATGGGGAGGCTTTTTGATGCTATTTGATATTACATTCCAAGCTGTCAAAATTTTTGTTTTATTGAAGATTTTATATATATATGTAGCGAATATACATTGATTACAAATCCCAACTTGTACATATTAATTAAATTTAGTGTTTAACTATGGCTACTGATAGGGAGGTACTGAGAGAAATTTGGGAAGGAAAATTACCTGTATGTTTTGAATTAAATCAGGAAGAGGTCAATGATTTACAAGCACCTGAACCCTACTACCTTATTGTTCCCAGGCTAAGCTATTTTCCCTTAGTGACCGATAAGGTAACAAAGCATCTTCCAAATAAACATCAAACCTTTGAAATACTTATTTAAAATAACTGCATTGTTTGACAGCTTGTAACTAATATATGTATGCTTATTTACAAGTATTTTTAAGCACATTGTGCTTCATGTTCTTATTATAAAAATATGTTATTTTGTTTTTGTAATGCATTTTATTGTTGTGACAATAAAACAATTTCATTTTTATTTTAGGTCAGGAAGCATTTTGTCAAATATATACACCCTGACAAGCTTGATGCTGAAATATGGCTTGACTATAATGGAACTCCTCTGAAATGGTTAATAGTATATATCTTTATTTATATTTTTGGTAGTAATTTTTATACTTGGGAGGTACTTTCATGGTAATTGAGTGATTATTTCAAGCTTATTACCTTTTTTTTATATTACAGAAATGTTTCGAAATATCTTGATTAACTATAATTGAATGTATAGAAGCATTGGTTCTTTATTTCCCAAACAACTAAGCACTCATTAATGATTTACTCCTATATGACTTTTCATTCATTCTCTTTATAGATACACCTAAAAGTCATAGGCAAATAAATGAATTTTGTAAAAAAAAAAACAAAGTTTGATTATTATTGCTTAACGTCCTTACATACCCATAACGTGGGCTGGAAAGATGGATTATCTTACTGATAACCAGTTCATCTTGCAATTTCTCATATTTCAAACCACCTAGGCTGGATTTGCGCAAGCCCCACTTCTAGTTTTAGGTTGCTAAGTTGTCACCTAACACTCTCAGCTACCATGACCTCAAAAATTAAGTTTGAACTATTGATTTTCAAGTACTGGAGTTCGTATTCAGTACTGGACATTTCTAGAGCTCTGAGTGAAAATTCTGGACAAAAATTGTATCCTCTAATGCATATGTGGGGAATCTTTTAATCATTAGATTCCAGTGCTCACGCTAGGCAGTGCTAATGGAGGCCGCAATAATTCTTTATATTTTACTTTTGCAATTTTTATTTATCACTAAATGCACACACCTATATAGGGTAAACAAGACATTTATTGACACCTTGGATAGTTATTGACACCCTAATTTTTAATTGAAAAAATCAGCTTTTATGTAAATTTTCAATTTCAAATAAAGGGGGAAATAACTTTTTTCCATCATATTAATTAATAAGAATGAGGGGATGTCAATAATTGTGGTATCGATGCCTTAGGGTATCAAAAACCTATTTAGCACTAATTATTTTCAATTATTACAAAAATGACTTCCAATGATGTTCTTGGTATGAAACTTCATATTCAGCTTAAAGTAGAGTAAGTCAGGAACATTTATAATGAATTTCAATTTGGTTATAAATATAAATTTATAATTATGTACTTAAGGATGTCAATAATTATTATTATTATTACCCTACATATATTATACTTAATTCTATTAATTTTTAAATTTTTGTATCTTAAATGATTAAATAAAAATTATTTCTAGCACTTGATTAATTATCATGCTAATTAATTTTGAGGCCATAGCTACTTCAGGGAAGTCATATGCCAGTTTGGCCGCAGTTTTCCCACCTCTGCTGTATTGTAATCACTGAATAAAAAAATAGATATTTATTTTTTTTTAACTATAAAGAATTATGTTAACATGAACTATTTAAATGTTGAATTGTTGACAGTTTTTATTTTATAGAGTCACTTTATAAAAAATAGTAAAAATAAATAATTATATTTATTCTTACTATTTTTTATTTTGACTGATTAGCCCAACCATCCTTCTCTTCAATTATTCTTGATCTACATGTTAGATATGGAAAAAAGATTCATATATGTATTTTTTTTTTATATTGGAAAGAAAGCACTTATTTTAATATTTTTATAATTGCAGAGAGTATCTTACCATACATTTATAACTACTTGGTCCAATTTCATTTATTTATAACCATTTAATTTGCATGGCTAACTCTGGGCTAACTTTATTGATTGTGTTAAGTTATGAGTAAATTTTTTTATGCTGTACTTAGTTTGAGAATTTTATTAGGCAGTATTGCTCTAAAACTACGCATTAACTATCTAGGTAGTCTAGTAGTCTTTAAATATTTATCATTTTATTTCACTGAAGGATAGTAACTAAGCCTCATTTTATGAACTATAGATCTAATATTCATAGCCTCCAGGGGTAGACTGCTCTTAGACATTAGCCTCTCTGAATTTGTTTAGCATTTACCGTTTTCTTTAAATGAAGTCAAACATTTCAGTTCAGTAATAACTATAAAAATTTCAAATCAATGAATTATTGTTGCTTAGGTTGATAGGTTGTATAGGAACTTTACATATTTCTTCCAAGCGATCTAATCACTACAAATGGTGATTATCTTTGTACCCTTAATAAATTCCACCACTTATATATAATGCAGGATCTTCACTTATATGGTGGCCAATGTGTTGTCTCCGATAACTCTCTTTATCTGGGAAAAATGATAATAATCTGAGAATTCCAAACATTTTTTGCTGATCATTTATCTAAGGGCTAATCACATTCAATGATGCTTTATACCAACAGCTGTGTGCTGGCTTAGTAGGCCATTTGGTCCCATTATTAAGATATATTTGTGTCATTGTAAATATGAAGAAAGCTTATGTTATTATTTATTTTTTTAATTATAGGCACTATCCTATAGGTGTACTGTTTGATCTCAATAATTCTGATATCCAACTGCCTTGGACGATAACTGTTCATTTTGATAAATTTCCTGAAGAAGAATTGTTACATTGCACCTCAAGGTATATGCGGTTTTCTTTTAATGATATTAGATAATTAACTTAAATTTGCTATTGTGACATCATGTTTTTACATTGTTTATTATACTTTCAAATAAAATACAGATAAAATTTAATCACATTTAAAATCTTCTTCTAGAGAAACTGTTGAAACCCATTTTTTGTCTTGTTTAAAAGAGGCTGATGCCCTAAAACATAGGACACAAATTGTGATGAATATGCAAAAGAAGGATCATAATCAGTTGTGGCTAGGATTGCAAAATGGTATATATATATTTTTTTTTTCTTAATAATATTATATTTTTTTCATGGAAATATACAACATCATATATATAAATATATATATTTAATCTAGATTAAAATCTTACTTTAAAAATCATTGAATTTTAAATTAATATTTATAAACACCTTGAAAAGTTTGCGCTTGTTGCAATGCAGATATATACTGACTGCAGGCTATACATTTCTGAAATATTTAATTATTTGAAAGAAGTTAATATTTACGAATCAGTTTAACTATTAATTGTTTTAAGTTCCTGATTTATGTCCTTTATTATATAGACATGTTTTTTTTTTCTTTTTAGACTTTATTTTGGTTTAATGTTACTTTATCTACCAATTGATTATGAACTAAGTTTATTTTTTAATATACCTTAGGTCATCCCAGTTTAGTATTCAGAACTTAACATTACCATCCACCTTTTTGTTTCGAAATGGCAGCCAAACTTTTTTTATTATGTATTTATTTTTGTAGGATATATAGCTATTTTGAAATTATGAGGCTTAATAATAATAAGGTGAAATAATTTCCAGCATTTGTGTTTTTTTTTTCACAGATAAATTCGATCAATTTTGGGCTGTAAATCGGAAACTTATGGAAGTTGGAGGTGAAGAGTCATTTCGGTACATCCCTTTTCGATGTTACTACAAAGATGAACCATGTTTACAGCGTTTAATCAAACCACTTTCAGAATCTGGTTGTCGTAAAACTCTGAGCCAGCTGCTTGAAGAGTTGAATATGTTACAGGATGGTTTATCTCAATGTTAGTTTTAGTTATTCTTTATTACCTAAATGCATATAATTTTTGTAGATTTACTGGCTTCATATTTATTTAGTTGTGAAAACATTCCTAAATTATATTGAAATTAATTAATAATGACTTATTATCTAATAAACAGCATAAGTGCTAGTTGAAACTAAGTGAAAATGTGTCATGAACAAAAATTCTATTAGTATAAATAATCTGGTGCTACAGTCTATTTTTATTTATTTATTCTATGCCTACCTGCAGCTGCTGGGCTATCAAGAGCCTTTTGGTCCAGCAAAGGAAGGATATCAATGCATCCTACTCAGCCGTATAGACATTTTTTAAAAATTTTTATGTTGAGTAGTGGGAATGTAGAATCCATGGAGCTGCTGAGGAAGGGCTCTACATTCTTGACGAAGTTCTTTCAGCTGGTGATCAAATTGAATTGCCTGTACTTTAAGAATTTACAATTAGTGTATGAGTGGAAGGAAGATGTGGATTCAGCCCAATTCTCCTTGAATGGGAGAGAAGATCTATCTACCAGGAATGTTGTTGGAGGAGGAGAAGAGGATGATGACCATACTAACAAATTTCCAAGAAGATTGTGTGAATAGATCTTAACTGAAATGTAACCTGTTTCACTTGCAGCAGTGGTTCTTTATCTAGGCATTTGTAATATCTCACTGGTCTAAACATCCAGATTGCCTTATAGGCAGGGTGCGATGAGAATACAAAGAAAAATTTCACATAGTTAACTATTTTAGAATCTGCAAGGAGAAATAAATAACGTAAAAGGAATTCAAGATTATAATTATGTCGGTATTATGATTATTTTTCTGTTATACTGTAATTGTTTGATATTGTTTCATTGTCCATTGAATAAAAGTGAATATTTTTATCCATACAAATTAAATTAAAAAGTAGTATTTACTTGCTTACGTATTGGGCAGAGCTGCCTCACCTATGGATATCTATGACAAAAAAACCAACTCCAAACTGTCAGGACTGTCAAACAATCCTCACAGTGAAGCACTGTGACATTTGAAGACTGTCCCAATTATAGCAGAAAAATGGCCAACTTAGGCATACCTACATCCCTTGCCAAGGCTCTAAGTGAGGACTGTTTACTGAACAAAGTAACAAATTTAAAAGAGATGGGACTTCACAATAATATCTAAAACTCTATCAAGTTGATGGAAGATCCAAGAAAATGGGCGATGACAACTACAGAAGTTTTTTTCCCTGTAAACCAAATAAAAAAATGTGGTGTCAACTCAACTTTCACTTACCCCTCTACTTGAATATAAATTATTTTCTGGCAATGTTGCGCCAATATAAAATTTATGAAGTGCATTTTAAACTGAGCTAATGTTTGAAGCTTACAGTTAACAAATCATTAATACCATTAAAATAACAAAAATCCTATTTATTATATCGACAGTTTTTTATGGACTGTACGATCCGTTGATTATGGATTGTTCGACTATTAATTATTAAACTATTTTTATTCCATTGCAAAGTTTACTAAAATGGAATTATGAGATTTTCATTGCCTGCCATAGTTCAAAAATTGTCTCACTAATTGTAAGTGGATACTGTTGGGACATCACAAAGGGATAATTCATCAAATTATTCACTAATTTAATTTTCTAAAAGTATACATGATGATTTTTCAGAATAAATGGACAATAGATACCTAATTATTTAAATATAATATCAGATCTAGAGTTACTAAACTGAAATTAAAAAAAAAATTGAACGTTTACATTTAGGTAGAAAATTTCATTTAATTTTCTTGGAAACATGTGATTTACATTAAATAATGTTAGTTTTCAGAAATCATTATTTATATTTTTTTGTCACTCTCTGTTACCTCCTACAACTTTATTTATGAGGCATTATTTAATCTAAAAGTCTCCCCTTTCCACCAGTATATTATAGGTATACCTTCTGAATATTATTTCCAGATCTGGATAAGCATTTTCCTTTTTTTCTCCTTTGTTCAATTATAAAATTCTTTCAAAAGTTATATTAAGCCATTTTTTATTGTTACTGTCAATAGAAGACAGTTATTTCTTAATAATAACCCAAATTAAAGGTACTTTAGAGGAAGACGTATATGAACATGAAGCATTTAAGCCCTGTAAAGGGAAATAAATGTGGATAAGACCTAGCTAATATTAAAAAAAACTTAATGATACACTAGTATACCGAGTTTAATCAAAATCGTTTGAGCCGTTTTAGAGAAAATAAAAAAAAATATGTAAAATCAATGATACAAAGTGGCACTTCCAGTTAGCCGATTTTAACGTAAAAGTTGCTGTAACATTGGAACCATATACAAAACTTAAATACGTAATATCATTTTGGTTTTTGAGTTACACTGTTCACACACACGGACCATCTTGCGGGACTTGGTTATTTGGACTCAGAGGACCTCAAAACATGTATTTCTGTTGAAAACTCTGATTCGAAAATTTTCACAATCGTAATACTTTCTCTTACTATATATTACGTGTATAGGTAAGTGAAAGTAAAAAAATGAACTCACTATTATCACTTGACATTTTAATAATAGTATTGCCATTAAAATTACTTTTCATTTTAAAGAAAGTATGTTTATAGCCATTAAACAAATGTTTGGATTACAACAAAAACCTGATTTGTAATATCATTTATTTAAAATAAATAATGGTACATATAATAACTGAATTGAACATTTAAAATTCTATATAATTAGCTAATATCCTAATAAATTTCAAACCTTTCTTGTCGGTACCTTTGTTGTTGCAATCCTACTATGTATTATAAGGTATACATGTTTGTGATGTGATTTATCATTAACTGATATGTGTTTCAACAGTTTTGAAATGGAATAGAAGAAGTAGGATATTCAGTAGAGATGACTTTAATGTTTCATGTTAGCTTGATCATGATCTTTCTTGTTTAGGGGTTTAATACATGTTGTTCAAAAGTTCAGTAAATTTTGGTAGCATTTTGCTATTAATTTTTAGTGATTAAATCTAAGGAAAACTTATCCCACACTTAGTATCTGTTATATAGATTAGGAAATTATTGCTAGAAGTTTACTTTTATGGCTAGTGAATAAAACACCACCAGTCAATTTGGTTTTGTTTTGCTAATATGAACATTCATGTTTGTTATAGTGAAAGTGACGACACATGGGATAGAACCTCCGTTGGATACACCTCTTCAATGGATGAGTGAACACCTCAGTTATGCTGACAATTTTCTTCATCTAATCGTTTCTTCAGTGGGATAGTTTAAATAATTTTATCCTATCTTGCTATATTTTATTTGCATAATGTAATATAGGCTCTGCTCCAGTACTGGTATGTTATCTTTGTAAATATATATTTTCATTCCAATTTTATGTTTTGTTTCTTTTGATATGTTACTCAAATGTTCAAATTTTTAAATAAATCCAAACTTAATATTTATTTTATTTTATTAATGTTATTATAATGTATTATTTGTTGCGATGTTTTATTAGTACTGATGGATTCCAAAATTGTAGTTAGTAAACATCTCTCTTTCAAAGTTATATTTTAAAGAACCCATAATTGTTATTTTAAAATGTATGTTTGTATAAAATTATCAACATTTCTTTAGTATCATATTTTATAGTTACTTTCATCAACTTATAATGTTATTTTAACTTGGTAGAGGTTCAATTAACACATCCACTGTGGCTCACAATACATATTCTATTAATTTTTTCATGGAGTACTTTAAAAAATATCAAAGCATGTAAGTAATAACAATAATTATTGATAAATAACAGATTACTTAAACACTAATGTTATTTTTAATTTTTGAAAATTAAACCTAAAGGCTCACTCTTTTCTATATAACAGGTATATAATATACACACTATACCACCCTATAATAACCCTTGCTTTTATTCTAGATCACTCCGTTTCCAATTAACAATATTACCATTAGGGGCAGATGGATGTAGTATTTGGATCCTAAAAAAAATGTGACAGATCATACACCCTAGCTTTGTATCCTAAAATAGTTTGAAATTGATTCTAAGTGGCCATTTGCCTATGTGAGGTTAAAGGGCTATGTATATATTTTGTAAATTCAACTATACACAGCAAATAACTTGAGTGAATCTTAAAAAAAACAAAAAGCAGTTGCAGTGAACGTGCTTATTTTCTATAATTAGTAACATAATTTATAAATACAAAAATTTGGATTTAATATAAAGAAATGTATTGCTAAAAAAACCTAATATACAGACAACTGATTTATATATTATATGTGTATTATAATTATATAACGTTTCTGACATGGTTGCTGATTATGACATGATTCTGTATTGTTTGATAGAAATATAATAATTTGTTTTTTGATTCTTGAAGTAATAATTCAATGAATTTGACAATATTACTTTATACGTTTTATAAAATAGTGAATTTGTATTATAATCTCAATATTGTACTTTAAAAAATTATTTTATATAATAAATTACTATTTACGATGATCGCAATATCAAATTTTGTATACAAATAAAGTAATAAGTGTTTTATGAAGATTTGATGTTCACATTCTAATGTGTACAAATTTTATACCAACTATTGGATAATTTTAAATTACTGAAGGTCTTGGCATTAAAAATTCTACTAGAACAATTATTAATATTAGAAAAATTGCATATTAAGAAGTAATTTTGATTATTAACCATGAAATATAAATAGCAGTAATAGCATTATTGTTTTCCAAGGACCATATAGAAAGAGACAGAAGTTTGATTCTTTAGTTTCCAGAGGACTTTCTGCTGATATGGTGCCCAAAAACTCCATATTCAACCATACATGTTTGAAGTCCAAGCCTTATCTGATTAAGTGGTTGTAGAATCTGAATCAGAATTTATACTTCCAAAATAAACAATGCCATATTGATTTGGAGGTAATGAAATTTTATGCTAAATTTTTGGTTAGAAGGGTGTGTCAGTGTTACTAAGTCAATTGCTGCGATCTTCCAAGGTTATTTGTACCATAATGAATATAATGTTCTGAAAAGTAATATTCTATAAATGTTAACAAAAATTTATAAGTGAGATATAAGAAATATCTAAATATATTGAAGACAGATTTGAAGCCGTTAATAAAAAACTGCTTCCACTAAAAAAATATTGTTTAAGTTAGCTTTGGATATTAAGTTATAGGAAAGAACTAATTCCCTCTAATCATGCATATTGCTATAATTTTCTTAATTATAAAAATAATGAAAAAATTAAAATCTCGAATAAACAATAATTGAGATTATAAAAAATATAAATAAATAGTAACAAGCAATTCTCAATCCAAATAAAACTCTAAATAAGCAATAATAACAATCTTTAAAATATTTTACTGGAAACAGTGAGGATCCCAACAATCTGAGGAGATGAATTGTAGTTGTTATATTAATTATTACACTTTTTCATTTGAACTTTGTCAAAGTAATATTTTATGATTACTATAACATTTTTAATCTACCAGAAACAACTTGTGTTCTTTTTTGGATTAAATTGATTTATGTAATCTTCCTCTTCAGTATTAATATAATGCCTTCACTACTTATTTTATCAACAGCTGATTTCTGACTACATTAGTAATTTTTAAATATTTTGTTGTTCCTTTAGAGATTTTTTCTTGTAACATATAAATATCTTTTAGGACAGTAAAACATTAATTGCTTTTTCAATTTGCAATGCCTATATATATAACTGCATATTCATAATACATTTGTCAATTAGCAATTGAGTATTATGAACTAAAAATATATACTAAAAATATATTTGTATTTTTATAATTCATTTTATAGGAATTCAATTAGTTCATTACAATTAAACTTATATTGTTTTCTGATATATGTATTTGTTTGAGATAAAGTGCCATAACAGTGTGCCTTTGTCTGTACATCATTATCCATTGACAATGGAATGGAAAGGGTTCAACTAGAAAAAAAAAATTATTGGAGTATAATGCTTACTATCATCTTATTGCTAATGCCTCGTGATAATGTAGTAATACATTTATATCAGTTGATGAACCTTCAGTTTTTATTCAAATTAAACAGAAAAAAAAATGCTCTTAATATCTGTTGATAGTGTCCTGTTTATCGTATTCAATTTTAGTTGTGTAACTGGATTTTGAAAAAATATTTCCACCAGATTTTAGTTGCAGTTGCTTTAGAGTGATAACCAAATTTATAAATAAGTTCTGATCAGTAGGCTAACATTTATATTTAACCTTGGCAATATGAAAGTAATGTGATTGTGTCATAATAGACATTTGAGTTATATTTTTAAATGATAAATAGCTACTTTTCAGATTTAATTTTTTTTATTAAAAGAATTACTATATTTCTATTAAAAATTAAAATTTTAATGGATTTCATACTGAATATCTTAAAATGAAGTTTACTAAATGGTTATTTCAGAATTCATAACCTATTATAACAATAACTTAGAAAGATATTCTTCCTCTTTCTTAAAAGCAGTTCTAAATAAGTACGTTACTTAATAATTTAAATAAATATAATATTAACATTATGATAAAGCTTAACTGCCATAGATTGAAGACCTCTCCACTATTTCTTTTAAACACATATACCTTAAAAATTGTTATGTGAAAACAAAGTATAAAAAATAATAAGAAATTAACACATAATATAAAAATCTTGCTTCCTTTTTATAATATATTCTTGTCCAATATTTTTCCAACTTTATTTCCCTGATGTACGTCTGGTCATAGATTCAAATATCTCTATTATGAAATTGCTAGCTCAATTTCTCATTTAATGTTTCAATATATATTAATGAAATTTGTTTTTCACCTAAATTTATATTTACATATCTAGGGAAGTTCTAATAAATATTAAGATTTAAATTTAATGTGAAAAATAAAATATTGTAAACTCATCACTAATACTTTTTATTAGAAAAAACGATAATACATTATGAGAATGTTTTTTTTTTCCCGATACAATCCCAAATTGTACTGTTAATGGATATTTTCATTTTATAATAATAATAAGTTTTAACATTTATGTTCTACCAATTAATTTCTTTCCTAGTTGGCTGATAATTGATTTTTATTCTTTCTCAACTTAGGTATACTATTTGCATATGAAGCTGATGCAATTTAACTTAAGATTTTGTCAGATTGATTTATTTAACTTTGTTAAATTATGATTTCAACATAATTCAGCTTGAATTTAATTTTTATGAACAACATTTTTAGATGTGATTTCTAAAATTATAAATCAAAGGTAATTGATTTTTATTTATTTTTATAAAATGAGCTATTTGCATGTTATAATTAAATTAAAAGCAGTAATATCTATTTTTAATTGTAACCAGTTAAACTCACATATTTGACATACGGTTTCTAGTACATTTATATTCAACTAAGGTAATGTTCAATCGAACACTGAATAAACAAGATGAAGTATTCAAAGGCAAGGATTATATTATAAATTAAAAAAAAAAATACTCTGATGGTCTGAGTGAAACAAATTTGTAAAACTACCAAAAGTGGGCATTTGATTTGATATAAATAAATTAATGATACAATATATTTAAAAATAAATGTGTAATAAAAAGTTTACTTGAAATTACAACGCAGCTATGGTTGTTATTAGTTTTTCATCAAATCTATTGACATTTCAACTGTTCTAATAAATTTTAATTTTTTATGAGGTGATGGACATTTCAAAATAGCCAACCTTTGGTTTGTCATTACCTGATTCATTTCAATCCATAGGTGGGTGCACATTAAGGACTATGGTTTATTAATCCCTTCAGTGCGACAAATAAAAGAAAACTAATATATCTGTTAAGCAAGTATGATTTATCGAATTTACTTAAGCAGTTATAAAATCCTTTGTGTCATGTTTAATCAAATTATTGAAATATTTTTGGTTAATTTTTAAGTTTTCAAAGAACTGTTGCTATTTTATCCATTAATCATGTAAATTTTGCCTTATCAAAATAAATAAAAGCTAAGTGAATGAGTGATAAGAACAACAAACATATAAAATTAAAAAATATTCACTTTATTTAAAAATTAACATATTTAAAATAATTTATAAAGGCACATTTTTTTTCTTTTTTAAGGCACATTTTAGTAAACACAAATGTCAACTTATATTTAAAACAATTCCAATCTAAAATTTAAATACAAAATTCAACTAAACTTTTCTAACAGTTAAAAATTTACAATTATAAATCTATAGTTATTTACATTATCAACATGAAAACTATATTTTAACTATATACAACTTTTAATTTATGAACACTTTAATAACAAGAAAGATCCTGAGTTATTTATACCTTGATTTGTTTATAACGTACTTTTTTAATGTGCTTGGTTTACACATAATTAAGTCTATCATGGAAGACTAAGCTTAGTTCAATTTCAAAAATAGAACAT